TACAACACAGTGATGTAAAATATATGATTGAATCGGGTAAAGGGCATTATTCGTTCACGGACTCAGTTCGGGAAGTCATGGTCCGCTTTTTTCGCTTTCGAGGTACAGTTCAGAGTCCCCGGTAGTGGTTCTGCATACGTTTTGGATTGAAGAAATTTGATTGGTGTTGCTCTTATTTATGACATAAAATTCATGTTTGACGATATAGTCCTGCAATTTCTTCTCTTTCTGTTTTCAGTTGCTGAACAAGATCCTACTTTGAGTAGATCATGGAATGTTTTCGCTGCGTCGACCGATAATGCAGATGCTTATGGAAACTGACGGAACTTATTGTTTCTTGAAACAATCGCGCTTAGAAAAACGTCAAAATTAAATTCCTTGCCAGACTGGAAATAATCTTAAAAACAGAATTAAAGATACTTCTGCTTTCGATAGATTCTAGAAAGTTGACTCACTGAAACGCCGAAGAACACTTAATGTAGTGCGGGGTTGCTTTCCCCAAGTAGAGCAAAATCGCCTGCAAACTTTTCATAGTGTTATCAAGGATTTGCCTCAAGCTGGAAACTGCTAATTGGCGTTAAATTTTGAAAAACAATTTATAGCTCCTAAGAGTTCGTGGAGTTGATTGTTACGAGCACGTGAGCTGCCAAGGAAAGCAAACAACGCTTTGCGAATGTTAGGAGGCACTCTTTTTCCGAAAATGTTGGCTTGTCATTAGTGTGCAGTCATTGGTCGATAATCATGTGATAGACATGCATTAGCATACTCTTGGTGGTTCGAATAGGACTTATATACTGATGTTTTACGTGGTAACATTTATAATATGCAAAGTATTCTAAGGAAAAATGGGGCTCTTAATTTTCAAGTCAGCTTTCTATAAATCAGTATTTTTCAATACGAGAATATAAAAACTCACATCCGCTACCAAAAGCCTTAGTTTTTAATAATTGTCTTTTTTATGTTAACTGTACTTCATGCTACTCAGTAAAGACAAGTTAAGTCTAAGTTCAGATACGGTGTTGCTTTCAATATCATTCCTCCTTAGTGTCCTTTTCTATGTTGATTCTTATGTAAATAATCAGTAGACCAAAATAATCTCTTCATGCCGCGTAAAAACTTGCTAGGATCTATTTTTATTGTCGCTTGAGTTATCGAGGTTAAAATTGAGGTTCTTCGAAACTGTGAAACGCTTCATAACCCGCTTCCTAGAATGTTAAAAATAACAAAATAGCAGCTCACGTTCATTCATCTACTATAGGAAACATGGGTTTCCCGATAGTTTTGTCATTTAAAAATCCTGATATGGAGACTCGAGGGGTTTTGAGAATTCTGGAAAACTCTCAGTGCAAACTCGGGCTTGTAACTGTCTCTAATTCCCCCAGATCTACTGGTATTTATATCACTGAGGCAATGCAGAAACGGAATTTTGGTAAGGGTCTTTTACTGTTGCTTTGGTCTCACAGTTCAATGTTCCCTGGTTTTTTAATATATTTTAGCTAGAACATGAACCGTTGAATGCCTTTTTAACAACACTTTTACTCGGAAATTTGAGACAAACCTCCCCAATTAAATTAATAAAATATCTGTACAAGTGACTGGATAAAGTTGTTTAACATATGTTGTCATTTTTGCACAGGAATCATGATTATTCTTGTATTGCTTACAACTAATTGCTATGTGTATTAAATTGCCTAAAGTAATTCAATGTATAAATTAGAGTGCTGGAGAAGAAATAAATGGGTCTTAAGTCACTGTGGGAGTTTTTTTTGTGGGGGGGTTGGGGGGTGGGGTAGGTCTGTGGCTAACATTATTGAACAAAGGTTATTACACACTTTATGAGAAATCATGCATTCTGGAAATAGAAAACTAAAAAAGTAATAACTGCGAGAAAATTTGAACCTCTTTAACATTTTAATAATTTAAAGTGATTTAAGACGACTAAAGGCGACCTAAGGCGATTTTAGCAGACTATTGCCTAAACTTCTAGCCAGGCATTGGACAATAATCTTATGATCGAAATATATTGGTGGTTATGTGACAAGGAGGCCATGCGGGTAGATAAAAATTAAAAAAATCGCCGAATTTGAAAGAAGGAGTTTTGTTGTTTTGTTGTTTTTTCAACAGCATGGCCTTCTTGACGTCAACTTAAAAAAAGAAATTATTTGGTGCTTGGTACGATTTACCCTTTTCCTAGAAAATGTATTTATTTTGTAATAAAAGCGATTCCAAGAAAAAGTAACAAATAGGCTAGTGAGCTTTCTATGAACTCATTTTCAAGTGGTAAAATTCTTTATAATTTTAATTTGTAGTTTTAATTCTACTAAGTACCTGTACAGATCCAATGTTCCGGACAGAGCTAAAATACTTGAGCCAAAGCTCCCGAACGTCTATATTAGACACTGTACTGCAGGAATTATTCTACAAGGGCTACGGTGTCCTTTCAAGCCACTGAATTAGTTAATTATATGTATCTGAATATTATTAACATGCTTGTCCGAACTATCACTTTCCGTCATAAATGAAAAGATCGGGTCTGTCGTTTTTGTGAATGGGGATTAAAGTTTCACGAACTTCGGAAAGACATAACATTTCATCGCGGCCAGGTCATTACTAATTCACTTTGACAATTTTCTTCTGTGAAGTAAAGTCACTTATAATGTACGCAATCTCGTGTTGCCCGTTTCTGCGACTTTTCCATCCGGAGAAATTCAACTCGCCAGCGCTCTTATTACTCAAAAATTTTAGCTAACAGATGCTTGATTGCATTTTCCTTCGCCATTTGTGTTCGTTTATTATCAAGTGATTTCTTTGGGAACTTGTTCATATCAGTTGAGTCAGTTTTCCGCTTTCGTTATTATGTGGTGCGAATCATCATTCTCGTAACCCATTAAGGTCTTAAAAAGTCGCTTGTGAGGTTTTAAATCCATAGTCAGATTGAAAAATCTTTGAAACATAGTTAAAGATACTGCTGGTTTTGCTTTAGAGTCTTTTATTCAAGTTAACTGATACGAAACTGAATACATTCTTGCTGATACGAAGTGCACCAAACCTCTTCGCAATTAGGCCGAAACCTCCATCCTCTTCCAAACAGAGGAAGAGATAAAAATTATTAGTAAGTCTAGGATAATAACTGATAGCTTACCTTACAGTTTGTGGAATTCCTTACAGAGGGTCGACACGCACTTTACTATGAATTAGCTGGTGCGTGAAACAATTGATGTTTTGTGTTTTAAAATAAATTTTATGCAAGTGATTCTAAGAAAAACAGGATTCTATTTTAAACTTCCGCAATCTATGAATTTAAATTTGAGGGGCAAAATTTTTGTCTCCTTAAATGCGAAAATACCTTGATATAATTGATATCGCAGAACAACCTCTTATTAATATTTTTATCTTTTTTTTCTTAACAGCACAGATGACGTCATTAATAGGGAGCTTAACTTAATATAAACCGCATTTTTGAGCGACGCCCGTCAGCCGGAAGTGTTTTTTTTTTCATTTCTGGACAGTTGTTAAGACCAAATTTTCACACAAATCGTCGCTGTAAGAGTAAAGGGACTAAGCATTCGAATTTGGAACCGTTCAAGGCCGATTAAAAGGGAAAAGGCCTCATTTCCAGTTGACGTGCGTGCTTCAAAAACGTCTCCGAGGAAGCCAACATAAAAACTGAGTGTACTTGCACAAGCGGTTAACCATGTTAATCGTGCTCACCTGGATGAGCCGCAAAAGCCGTAAAGGCTGCCCGAAAAACATGGAGAGATGACCTCACCATAAAGATATTAAGCGACCATTTGATCAAGTCAACTACTTGAAAAAGGTTTGTGACGGAAATTTTTAAGCTACGTCTCTGAAACGAGAGTTTATGCTCTCTTGTCTGAAATCTTTGTTTTAGCATAAAGCGACTTGCTTTTTCTACAAAAATCTTACTGCTATTGGTTTGGACGTTCTTTAGAATTATTTTACAAAGACTAAACTCGATTCATGTAGGTCTTCACTTTACGGCTTTGCTAGCACAATAGGGTTTGCGAGTATCGGAGAACTTAGACTTGCAGTTCAGATATAGATTTGATGGCTGTTAGCTTATTCATCAGCAAGTACAAAATCCGTGGCAATCAACTAAATCGTGTAACATAGATGGATCCATATCGTTCCCTTTAAAGTCTCCAGTTGGGGTAATATACATAGCGGCAATAAACTCATTAGATTAAAGAAGTAAGATAAATACTAAGAGCCAAAATGTTCCCTTCCTGGGCATTCTGAGTAGAAAGCTCCTTGCCAGATTTGGGATACTTTACTTTTGCGCTTTACAGAAATCCGGTAAACTCCATCACTGGAGATCTCTTGCTGCACTCGGCCATGGGCAGGTGTATTCAGCTTGCTTAAGACTTGCCAAACACGTCTGGCATCGGCGGATCCGTGTTTCACGAAATAGTTTTGCTCTTCCTCTGTCAAATCTTTTTCTGTCCAGTAAACGTCGATGAATTTTAAACCAAGAACATCTGCATTCTGCACTCGGAAAAATCCCTTGACCCCTCAGTCTTCTCCCCAAGAATTTAACAATCGTAGACTTTCGCTGTCGAAACTTGTTAACACAACTGAATGGCCTCTGGTGGGACTATTGGGAGGACCGGCTGTTAGATCGATCGATCTCCTTCCTCGTCAAAATGCCTGTTCGGTTACGGTCATCGCCAAAGAACTTTCTAAAGCTATCCCGTTCATGCTCTGTTAGCCAACAACTTGCTATCACTGGTCGGCCTAAAGAAACTGCTTCTAAGGCATCCTTGAGGTCAACTTCTCTGCGACGCAAACGGTAATCCTGGGACATTTCCCGTAAATCTTGGAGGGGACCGGCACCGTCATTTCTACTTCGCGACCAAGATTTCGTTTCATGGACAAATAAAGTACTGTAGCACATGCATTCGCATGGCAGGCGTTCCCTGTTTGCTGCACTTTTGCTTTATAGGCCTCCACGTCTTGCTTGATTTGGAATATATCTAGTTCTACAGATGCAAGCACATCCGATAACGTATCTTTACATAAAAAGACATCTTGAGCCAACTTGCAAGCGCTTTGCAGTTGTTTGGATGATTGACCTGCGAGAACAAGTGGGTTTCATTGCTGGTGTCATCGATGGTCCCATCACGTTTAACAAAAATTGTGCGTGGTAGCGATTGCATTGACAATTTCGAGGTCAATGAGAACAGGAACTTTGCGCCCCGATCCCAGGCAGGCTCCGCCTTGCTGAATAGTCGTCTAGGGTTAATACTTGCGGAGTCAGTGATAGAACAGCTCACTACAGTCACACCAGCTGTGGTCAATTTTGAGACCATACGAGCTATTCTTGCATGGTCAGTAGTTTGTCCATCTGTAGGCTCTGCGTCTGACAAGATGAACAGTAGCTTTTTGTGACTGGAAAACATAGATACTTTTGTTTGAAACAGTTCTGTTGCCTTCTCAATCGAAGGCTTTCCCCTGTAAATGAAGGGCTCTACGCTCTTCAGTAATTCCTGACTCCTTTCTTTGGAGAGGTCCTTTTCATCGAAGCATCCATGAAGAACATCTGAGGCTTCTTGAACATTGAAAATTGAATCTACAGTAACACCTACCGTTTCTTTCTTTTCTTCCAGCAATTTTGGCTCCACCTTTTCCCTCTTTTCATCTACCAAATAGGGTGTCATACTACTTACCACTTCTCTGATATCTTCTAATGTAGCACGTTTAAAGCGACTAGTCACTGTCGCAGCCGCACTTTGCCCGCTATACAAGTCGCCTGGCAGACCCTGTGGAAGGCTTTCAGACCAATCTCGAGCCGGTGGTAGAAACTATTCAACGAATTTTTTTAGAAACGATTCGTCAGATTCAAATTTATTGAGCAGCATGACAGCCATATCATCCGTTACTACTCTGCTGAATTCTCCGTCAATTACCCATTTGCGGTTAGTGGGTGCACCGACTCGCTCTAATTTATGAAAAATCAAGTCTATGTGCCTTGGTGTGACAGGCTCTTTATCAATAATTTCAGTGATTTTTGCGCGACCAATCCTTTCTCTTTGTTTTTCAATTTTTTTAAGAGTTCCTATATGATATCAAACATTTCGTCACCACAATTAGCCCCAAAGCCTATGGCAAATACGTGGTTATCTGAAGGAACTTCGTGTTTTACAAATTTTTCTATAACCTCAAAGATCGAACGAGCCCATGGTCCTCCTTCTTCATCAGTACCCTGTCCAATACTACGACGCATGGAGTAGCACACGTCAAGCAGGAGTCCAGTTAATGATGCCATAATACTTCTGCCTGTGTAATAAAAGAAGAGTCGGCCTTGTCATAACGTTAAATCTCAGGGCAGAACAGTACCAAATGTTCCCAAATGTAGTCCAGTTCCCTGTAGAGAAGAGACATGGTAAGAAGAGAGATACTTGGAATGAAGGAATACGATGAAGTAAAACACCAACTATGACCGGCTACTATACCAACCTACCTATCCTGAAACAGAACCAGGAATCTAACCTGGTAAATATTGTTATCCTTAGCTGAAACTACAAGCGACTGTATGAATTCTAGTGTCCTTTTTTGCTTGGAGATGTGTTGTTCTTTCCCTTGAGGCATTGTGTATTGTTTATTTTGGTCTTTAAGAAAGAACGAGCTGCGATCTTTTGGGAGGAGGAACTCTAGGAAGAGACGTCATTGCATACACCAGCCCAGATCTAACCTGATGCCATAGAAGAGTGATCATGCAGTAAACACTAAAATCATTGCGTTCTTTGTTTGTTGTTCTCTTCCATTTATTTGCAGATAAGACAACGGTGGTGACGGACAATGGAGAAGAGCAAGCGCAACAAAGCTTAATATCAACCTGGGCATCACGAGAGCTACACCCTTGCTTCCCTGGGAATTATAGCATCATTGCATTACGTTGCAAGATTTCACTGTACATGCAATTAAATCGTACGTGTCATATCAATATTGGTGCTTTTTCTAACAATTTAACTATTATTACTATTGTTTTGTCGGTGTTTAGCTTAGCTGATTGTACCTTGGAAAAGCAACTCTCGACTCAGGAAAATTGGATCTAGGTCTAGTTTCAGAGGGCTCTAAAGGCATTGCACCATAGGCCGGTTTTTGCAGATAAGAAGGTGATAATTTGTGCGCTATGTTTCATTCAATTTGTTGTCTATTCCATGCGGAATCCGGTTGTTTATCGGACCGCGAAAAAAGTAGTGTTTTGTTAACTATTTAAGTTGTTATGTAAGCCTTAATTAGGCACTCTTTCGCTGCAGCTCACTCAACTTAAAAATTTCTAGACTGAAATGACACCGGTTTGAAACTTTGCGAAGTCAGTTTACTAAATAAATGTTCTAAAATTTGCGTCATTTTAAATTTGGACTCGCTGGAATGCTTCTAGGGACCATTAACGTACTGCCCGGCGTCGTATAAAGGCTTTTAATCGGCCTTTGAATGAGTTTTGTTGTTTTAAATTGCCAAGTAGTAGAATGAGTTTGCTAACCCGGTTTTCAAAAATCCAGGTATATAAATTTTGTTCTATAATTTATTTACTCTACTTTGTTTAGATTAATTTTATTTGACCTATGCAGGGGATCGAGAGAGAATATTTTGGGAAATTAAATGTGGAGTCTATCAAGTACAACTTTTCTTTTGCATCTTCTCTCAGTCTTTTTCTATTTCTTCAATTTCCTGGGAATCATTCCTGCTCAGTTGTGCTATGCCCCTGATGATTCACAAATTTTTAGAGCCTTGGTGTCGATACATCCATTGTCCCAATATACCCGGGTCTCTTAACCTTCTCTTTCCTACTCTTCCATGTTTTCTTTTATCTGCAAATTACTTTTTTCTACTTCCTGGAATTCTACACTGAAAAGTTTTAAGAACGAAGTAATTCAGGATGAGTATTCTTGTTGTTATTGTTGTTGTTGTTTTGTTTGTTTTCGCACTTTCTCTTTTTATGGTACAGGTTTTTTTTGTTTTTTTTTTTTACCTGAATCCCCGGTTCTTCTTTTTACACCCTCCTTTAATTAGAACAGCTACTGAATATTTTTTTTTACCTTACTTTCAATGTTATAAAGAACGAAATAATATTAGATGATCATATTTTGTGGTTAGCAATTTATCGTCTTTAATAACAATTTTAAAGGGGGGTTTAACCCCCCTTTTTTCCCCCCATTTTCTTTTTTCATTTAGCTGGGATAAATTCGTCCTCATGCTCCTCTCATTTTGCACTAGAACAGCAACTGGTTTTTAGCTACTTTCAAAGTTGTAAAGAACGAAATAACATTATAGATAATTATATTTTCTGGTTGGCAGTTTATTTATTTATCTATTTTTTTTTTTTAAAAAAAGCCATTTTTAAGTAGGGTAACCCCCTTTTTCATCCATTTTCGTTTTCATTCAGCTGGATTCAGACTCCTCTCATTTTGTACGTCATCATGCTGACGATTACCTTATGGCGTGAGTAGCAAAAAAATTGTTTTTGCTACTTTTTGTGGGCCACATCCATGAGAAGAGGAATTTTTGTCTTCTAGCTGAGGAGTTTCTATTTTTATAATAACAATAATAAATGTTATTTAGCCAGAGTTATCTCTTCAGCATAAAATGCTGCTATCAATTGGTCTGCTGCAGAGGCTATCTGATGTATTTTAGAGTAAGTACTCAAGTACTTTTTATTTTCAAGACCTTTCAGTACTTTCATGTGTTAATGCAGCAGGCATCTTGCTACGGTTATAGCTAGTGGATCTATTTGCCCTAGAAACCTGTTTCCCTCGCTTCAAGGTCCTTAACTTTATATTATATTATATATTAACCCTTCATTTCCTTTTATTTTATTTTGCACTTTGTATTGTATTGGACGTTGCTGCATTGCAGTTTGTTGGTCGCTCAATATTGGTGCTTTTTCTAACAATTTAACTATTAACTATTTTTATTTGTTTTTATGCCTACAACACTCTCATTTACACACACTCTTCCTCCCCAACTTACCCACTATTTTAGTGGAGACTTGGGAACCCTTTCATTAGGGATTCCATACCACACCTGTAATGCCACAAAGGTTGCTAGAGAAACTAGTGGGTCAACCCGGATCTTAGTATGTTAGACCATCGAAGTAATTCAAGCTAGCTTTAATCCTTGAGTTAGCTTGATTTTACCTTACTTTTGACTATAAAGAAATTAATTCATGAAAAAGATGTAAATAGTTGACAATTGCGACTGCCAATGATCAACAGCTAAAGTTCTTTTTTAAGGGTTTTAATAGTATGAACATGTAATGGGGCAATTCACTTTGTTTAATTGTGTTCTTGAGTTTGGCTTCCTGATATCCTCCTCTTTCACCAGCCAACTGATAATGTCTCCAAAAGTAAAACCTTTTTTTTATGTTTGTTAAAATTGTTACCCAACTGTTGCGCAACTGATCAAGAATTTCTACTGTATTTATACGCGGTTGACAAGAATAATAAATAATCACTGAACCAATATAAGTGGGTCTTATCCAAGAAGAAAATCTCCTAAATTCAGCTCAATGTAATATCATTAAAAGAATAAACTGATTTTGAGTACATTTTACACATTGGGCTTAAAGAGTGAAGTAGTTCTTTGGTATTTTCTGCTTCATGAGAACCATAATAATTATTTATTCGTTTCTTTTAATATTAAAAATAATTTAATTATATACATGTCTCCCCTTGCCAAAGAGAGAAATTACTGTTCATCTCAAATTATTAACTGTCTTCAAACTGACATTTAAATTAAAGAAGTGCATGAGAACTAAAGGGGTAGCAATTTTACTATCAAGTGATGGCAAGACTTGGAAGCTGTTAGATGAGGTAAATGATTGATCAGTAAGACCCTTTACCAAAGAGCCAAGGAAAAATCACAAACAGTGAAGAGAGTGCGATACAGAGTGTTATCAGAGGTCCTAATCCTCTTCATTCTCTAATAAAAGGCAGCATTTATTATTATGGACCTTTGAAAGCTTAACCCATTCTCATCTCAGCTCACAACAGCTATTTTATTGCATTTACCAGTAAACAACAACAATCAAAATCAATCGATGGCTGCTGGTAAAAAAGTATCAATGACTTGAAGTTTTCTCAAAGCTTCATTACCAGGAGAAGCACAATCTGACTCTTTTTAAAATCTCTTTATTCCTTCTTTTATATTCTTTTTATTCTTTACTCTTTCTTAATTTTTCTCTTTAAAGTCTAGATCTTCATTCCTTGATTCTTCGGCTTCAGTCAAACCTGTTATAAATAGTAAACTTATAGTTAATACGAAAACTCGCATTGAACTCAGTCAATTTGTGTTTTCTTTTCTCAAAACTTTACAAGGTTTAAACTTTAAAAGTGCAAAAAATTAAACAAATGAATAAATTCTACAGCTCGGCCAGTACCTTTTTAGCTCTTTTTGTTCTAGGACAAGTAAGCCAGTACACAAACAAAATTAAGTGCTGAAGCTTAGTGTAAGAAAAGGCTTCTTTGATCGCACTAACATTTGTGTATGTTATAAGCTCTATAACTAAGCATAAATTCTTGTGTCTGATGGCATCATTGCGCTCATTGCCCGCTTTCGTTCCACCAAGAAACGACCCACAAGAGTCATCGCTCGGCTAATTATTACAAAGATTTGCTCTTCTTCAAACGTAATAAAGTAATATAATATTAAAGTAAATAGTCTACGTATCATTGAAGAAAAGTCGCCAAATCTCCAGCAATGCTTTTTTTCTCTCAGTCATCTTTCTGAAAAAACTTACGATCAAAGCAATGAAAAACCTCGCCGAGAGGGTCAAAAGCGTTTTCCTTGATCCCTGGTTTACTTAAAATTCCTTAACAAGACTTACACTTTATGTTCGCAGAATTTCTCCTTTGTGAGTTTATCTGATGATTTTCACGTCGCAAAGGTGCATCCCCCGTCTAGCCTGAAATTCATCCGATAGCTTCGAGTCGTTTTCTCCTCTCAACAACTGAGGGAGTAATAACCACTTGAAGTAATGGGATGAAATTCAGGCTATCGTCCGTGCGGCTACGCTTGGTAAACAAGTGATGTCACGTGACTGACCGAGCGTACGTACGTACGTACGTACGCGTCTACAGATTGTACGGGTAGGGTAGGGGAGACTATCAAAAGGAAGGGAGGGGTGTCTCAGGCGTGTCTTAGCAAATCCACATCTTTTGCATTGGCCATTCACGATATGGTCAATTGACAGCTGTCAAAACAGGATAGCCACTGACCAGTATCACATTGCCATATCGGGGGCTCATGTGTCAACTCATCAAGGTGACGTGAGTTATTTGGAAGCTGTCCGCTGACCAGTTGTTTTACTAGATCGCGATCAACATTCAATCTCATCCTTTCTAGCTAGTTTGTGAGCACAGGAAAACTGATAATGCACACATCCATTAGACATCAATGTTTTGATCAATTGACAGCTGTCAAAACAGGGTATCCGCTGACCAGTATCACTTGACCGTATCGCGGGCTCAGGTGTTAACCCGTCGAGGTCAAGTATTTTTTTGAAGTTATCTGCTGACAAGTTACTAGTTTTCAAATGATGGCAGGCTCAAGTTTGACTTTTTTTTTCATTCATATGAAATATGTTTTGTTTTTGGGCCGCACAATTAAAATTTTGATTTAAAACTGACCTCGGACCCGAAAATTCAGCCAGCTATTACAGGCAAGACAGTTGCTTTTGACTTTGCTCACCATGGTCACGCGTTGGTCACGCTCTACGTCCATTTTTTATGCTCTGATTGGTCAAAATTTGACAGGTGAGCTCATGCGGAAAATTTATGCAGCATCTTGAATCTTGTTTACTTTGACAGCTGAAGCTGAGAGAGTTTTGTGTCAACTTGTGACGTTTTTAACTGTCTTTTTTCACTGGATGCACAAAATGAAATTTATCTGCTATCAGGAGCCTTCTGTTATTCATGGTTAGTTGGTTTTTGGTTGAGAAATTAATACATCACTTGTCAAAGTCGGGAATCCGATTTCGGATGTCAACGTTTTTGTTTTTCACCTTGCTTGATGCGTAAAGGTTGAAAACTCTGAAGCGATACTGGCCTTACTTGATACCTTTCAGGAGCTGCATTTCGAATGGTAAGCCTCAGTAATTATTGTGTTTGATGTTTGTTTTTTATATCTAATTTAAAGAAGTCGAGCGTAGTTTATGCGGCTATGTAGTTTATGCACGTTTGTAAGATTTGAGACAATTTGATCTGACCAAGAATCAGGTAAACTTGATATAAGCTTACACAACTTTAAAAAGTCTTTAGACATTTTCTCACCGCAGATAGAAAGAAAACGTTCCAAAGAACATTTAGTTATAATTCTGGCAGTAAAAGAAAGCTTTGAGCGATTTTCTTGCCTCGAGTTCATCTGTGAATACCGGGAAGCCGGTTTTTAAGCTTGAAGACTCAGGATTTTTAGAGACACTTTAATATTTGTCTTCGTGAATGAAAAATGTTGTCTCTGTATATGTTTCGCCGAATTATATTTCCTTTATTGATTGTTGGTAGTCTCTCTTGTAATTTTCATCGCTTTGCCGTTTGTTTTCAGGCGTTCATAAACATCGCTTGCAGGAGTACTCAAAATGCCGCGCGTATCAAACGCTTTTAAAGATTACAGATCGATAAAACCATTGAATAAAAAATAAACATAATAATTTCTTTATTATGTTGGAGCTTAACTCTAGTATGTTTGTTCAAACATTCGCTACAGCTCGCACTGCAAAAGTGAGAACCGGCCGGCTGTATATGTGATTTTGGACATTTTTTTAACGGTTTAGCTAAAAGGCCACGCGTGCTTCGATCGTCCTGAATATTGAATGAGTGCAATTTCTGTTGCAAAATTGTGAAATACTGAATTCTGTCCGAGGTCTGTATGATAAAAACAGTACCTCATAGTACTGTTTCACCTCAGATGTGATGTATAAATGGTATAAAAGGTTGGTTTACACGCAACCAGATTTGTTTGCAAGATTTTGTAAAGTAAACTTGTCGAACGCAAAAAAATTCAACCTGATTTTTTTTTCCAGGCCTAATTAATCTTACGGTGATCAAGAGCCATTATGGCTCTTAAATGTGATCGAAGATGATTGCTATTTTTTGGGTGTACATCAACTCGATGTAAGATTTTGTTCACTCTTGGGCTGTTTGCAAATTATTTTTCTCTAAAATCACTTAGCCTTTCCCTCAAAAGTCACATGAATGTGCTATGTGCTCTAAGGTGCTATGTGCTCTAAAGTTAACTGAATTGTGGAATTCAAGTTTATTTTTTGATTTAAATTATAAATATATAATGGGAGCCTCGCTTTTAGCCCTGGCTAAATCTATATATTTTAGCCCTGTGGGCGTGGCCAGTGGCGCCAAAATTGTGTTCGCTCGCCCCGGGCTGGCTCGACTTTTGGGATACGGTCATGATGGAGTTATGAACAATGAGTTCATCATCTATATAGCCTTCTCGCCCCAAAGTGACTGCATTTCGCTTTTCAGAGACGCATCAGTTACTTTTTGACCCTCTCGAATCAGAATTTATGTCCGTGATGTAATACTGGTGGTGAGGTCAGTCTACACGCAGAGCCATGAAAAACACCGCCACTTTAGCCCTTACGTACTTTCAAAACATTTCTGGCTATTGGGGAAAAAAAAGAAGGAGCTTAAAATACCAAAATAAAATGTCATTTCAAATTACACTTTGTGACCGTTCGAAAATTATTGTGAATCAGACCGAATGAAAGTCCACTCAAAAAACGGGACGGGGGGTGGTGGACTTCTTGACAGTTCTACAGTTTGCTAGAAAATTAAAAGTTAGGAGAAAATACTGGGCGAAATGCAGAATACACACAAGCACGAGAAAGAAAATCAAAAACAACTTTCTGTTCAAAGTCGGGTGAAACGTTTAGTAGCGTCAAGAAGACTGAACTGGATTAAGGTTGTTGATTTCACTTCCGTTCCAGCGTGCAGTCCCTTGTCCTCCTTCTCGATCCTTCGTCTCCCACCGATCATTCCATGTCATATTTTTCGGACTTTGATTCAGTCATGACGCTACGATCACGTAATTTGACTTGATGAGCTCTTTAATTTCATTTCATGTACTAGTTTTATATCTTATGTTGGCAAGATCTGCCAAATGTACACAGAAGCAAAGGTAGGTTCCTGTTTACACGTGTAATATCGAATACCATATAATTTGCGTAAAGCCGCAGTCAGGGACAGTGCACAGTTTGTTTTTCTAGCCTTTTGATGAAAATTGACAAAGTTTGCGTTATCTTTGCCTAAGATATGTAATTTGTAGCTCTATACAGCGAAATACTACAGAGAAAATTGTAGCTGTGCACACGAGCGGCTGCCGATTGGTCTGGCAAATCGAAGAGCGAACTTGAGCCAGTCACTAGGCTGTGTGTAACAAAATTTATAATTTTCATTTTAGCGCATATTTCAAGCTCTTTGCAAGATCAGACACAAAAGATCATTTTTTTACATAAAAAGTGAGGGTTTTTTAAGCGATAGATAGGCTTTAAGAGGCACGATAAATTTTTAAGAACTTTCTTTTCAAATATTCACCGAATTTTGTTTGAAAGTTTTAGCGGCCAAGTGTCTTAATTAACCATTGCGCATTCATGCAATTATAGCTCTGGTCCATTACTTTTGCCCAATTATTTTGTTCAACAATCTAACTTATCTATAAACAAACTATGTTTAGTTAAAATGGCTTAGTCTAAATCGATGTGGCATTGGTGATATTGACCTTCCAATTTCTACTAAATTTGTGTACCTTTTAAGTACCGAAAAAGTGCAGTGAGAAGTTATAGCCGTTCGTAGCTTAGACTTAACCATTTTCAGATAAGAGTAGGTAAGAGTGACAATTAATTTATTTTAATGATAAGACTAGAATAATTATTGTAAACCTCTGCCATTTCACCAACATGACGGCCCCTCGAAGTCTCGTCAAAACTGTCATTCCTGTATCTTTGAAACCAAAGAGAATTCGAACCTTAGAATATGCATTCAGTATTTAGGACACTATTCTAAGACTACATGCCTAAAATCATCCAAATCGCTGAGGTACCGTGTCAGGCAGAAGTTCGAATTTTACAGAAAATCACTCTTAAAGGGTCATGTAGAATCACTGTAGTATAAAAAACTGCTGGAAATAAAGTTATGCCCTGATACATAAGCATGTAAAGTTTCCATTAAATACTCATTAAGAAATATTTACACTGAGTAGTAGCCAGTAACCGCCCTAAACAAATCATGCTGGACGCTGTATTTATTCTGCATTTGTTTTACTTCACAAACTCTCCGGCTTTGTATTTTTGTGCAATTTCAGTGGCTCAGCTATCTGTACGCCAGCAGGATCAGGCCCTTCAATTTTTAAACGTTAACCCTTGCTTCCAAAACTGTACGCAACTACGTACGAGCGTAACTGAAAAAAAAAAAATAAAAGTAAAGTAAAACAATAGAATAACAGAGCAAATGAGTAAAAACTAAACAAGCTAGGGATAACCGAAAACCGTAAAATTTCATTGATAGATGAATTCATTTTTTCCCTTTAAACAAGTCTTCATTTTGCTAGAATTACATAACGGCAAGTAACTCAGCTAATTAAAGATGTAAGATAAATATTAAGAGCTAAAATGTTCCCTTCTTCGGCATTCTTTGAATAAAACTCCTTGCGACATTTGGGGCACTTTGCGTGCGACAAAGTTCCAGTAAACTCCATCACTGGTGATATCTCGCTGCATCTGGGACACTTGAATTCAGCTCGCGTAAGACTCGGCAGTTCATTCATTAATTTTCTGGCAACTTCAGATCCACGTTTCTCGTAACAGGTTTTTTCTTCTTCTGTCAAATCTTCTGTATCCCAGAAAACATCAATAAATTCCATTCCAAGAACGTCTGCGTTCTGCACTCTGAAAAATCCCATGTTTCCCCAGGTTTCTCCCCAAGAATTTAGCATTCGTAAACATTGACTGTCGAAACTGGTCAACACAACTGCATGGCCAATGGTATCGGCACGACAGGCTGCCATGTTGATCTCCTCCTTCGTCAAAATACCATTTGGGTTTCTTTGAAAGAAGTTTCCAAAACGTTCCCATTCATCTTTAGTGAGCCAGAATGTTGCCACTACTGGACGACTTGAAGTGATTGCTTCCATGGCATCCTTGAGGTCAATTTGCTTGCAACGTAGGCGGTACTTTCGGCACATCTTCTGCAGCACAAGAAAGGTATTGGCACCATCACGTCCAAAACTGTTGATAAATTCTTGTCTTAACTTGTAGAAATCTGGACATCCTCCTTCGCGTCCAAGAATTCGTTTCATGGACAAATGGAGAACTGTGGCAGCTGCATTCGCATAGCAGGTCGCCCCCTTTTGCTTTAATTTTGCTTCATAGCCCTTTAATTCTTGGTTAATATAGAGATCTAGATCGACGGAAGCAAGCAAATCTGATAACGCTTCTTGACAACAAACGACATTTCGAGCCACTTGACAAGCCTCTCGTAAGTTTTCTGGATGATTAACCTGCAAAAACAAGTGTGTTTCATTGTTGGTGATATCGATGGTCCAATCACGTTTCACAAACATTGTGCGTGGTAGGGATTGTGTTGACAGTTTTGAGCTCAATGAGAACATAAACTTTGCGTCAGTGTTCCAGTCAGGTTCCTTCTTGCTGAACAGTCGTTTGGGGTCAATATGTGTGGAGTTAGTGACAAAGCAGCTCACTACGGTCACATCTGCTTCGGTAAATCTAGAGATCATTCGATCTATTCCTGCACGACCAGTGATCTCTCCATCTGTTGGGACTCCGTCTGACAAGATAAACAGCAGCTTTTTGTGACTTGAAAACTTTGAGTCACGAAAAAGTGCTATTGCCTCTCTAACTGATCGAAAAAAAGGCGTTTTGCCGTAAATGTAGGGCTCGATTCTCTGCAGCAATTCTCGACTCCTTTTGTTAGTGAGGTTTTTTTCATCAACGCATCCATGCACAACATCTGAGGCATCTTGAACATTGAAAACGGAATCAGCATCTACTTTTTTGAGCCAATAGGCTTTGGCCTTTTCTACTACTTCTTTGACGTCTGCTACTGTAGCCGTCCTAAACTTGGTCACCACCGACGCAAACGTACTTTCTGCTGTTCTTATCCCAAAGTTTATCACTGCAGCTTCCCAGGTTTGTAGAAGGTCGACTATAGGGTCTTGATGCTCTTGATTTTCGTATTCAGCCCAGTCACGACAAGCAGGTGGTAGACACTCTTCAACGAACACTTTAAGAAAAGGCTGGTCAGATTTCAATTTGTTCAAAAACACGACAGCCAAATTATCCGTTAACGCTTCGCTGACGACTTCTTTCTCTGCCCATCTGCGGACTGTGCGTGCGCCGGCTCTCTCCAGTACATCGAAAATCTGTTTTATGTGTTCAAATGTGGCAGGCCTTTCAGCAACATTATCTTGATTCGGAATATGTTTAAGAGTTCCTATGATATCAAATACGTCCTCACCACAACTAGCCCCAAAGCCTATTGCAAACACATGGTTATTGGGAGAAATATCGTATTTGATAAGGTTGTCAATAACTTCAAAGATCGAGCGAGCCCATGGTCCTCCTTTTTCATCAGTACCCTCGCCAATGTTACGACTCATGGATTCGGAGACATCAAGCAGGATTCCAGTTAATGATTCCATGCTCTCCCTGCCTGCAATTAAAAGAGAGTAGGCCTTGTCATAAAAGTTAGAAAAGCACAAAACCATGCTAAATGAGACCCTACATAGAATGAACTGATTGGATTTAAATGACCCCAGTAAACTGCCATTGCCCTCTGTCATGACACTTACTACTTATGGAAACGTCAATCACAAGAAGCGGCTGTTGGGTAGACATTTCCTGATATCGAATTATTGATATTGCTATTCAACTAACAAGCGACCATATGAAGTCCTGTCTACTGTATTGCTTATCTGGTACATATAAGTAAAAAAGAACCACATATCATTACCCTCGTCATTTCTTTGAAAAGAGCCAGAGCCTATACGTATTTGCAGGCTCAGGATAAAATCAATCTCCGTTGTCATATTACGAGGCAGGATAAGACACTTCAAAAGCAAACTTAAATACTTGGCCGTGACAACTCAACGAAGCCCTCTAGTAAAAAGAAAGTTGAAGTTATGTTCAATTTTTCAAATCTACCTGTTTAGTCGTCTACCCTGTAGTGTTATGCAAGGCCCGGTTGTTCAAACGTCGGATAGTGCTTTCCAAGGGATAAATCACTATCCAGCAGATAAGTATTAGGGGAACCAATTGGGTTATCCACCTTCTGAAAGACTGGGACCTGAACTTTAAATTGCTAAGAAAGTGCCATGAGTAAAATTTGAGAAAGTCGCAGAGGTGTTCCATATCAAGTGTGAACACGTTGTCGTTAGGCATGATGAAACCTTGACAAACGGTCATCAGCCAGAGACTACATAATTCGCGGCATGATTTTGGTTAGGTGGGTAAAGGGAACAGTAATATTTCAGCGTAACGTTAATGACCTAATAAACACCCGGCACGTCTATTTAATCCCCCTCTTAGACTCGTGCCTGATGCGACTTCTTTTGGGGGCTCGATGAAAGGAGGAGGTGACAGAGGCTGTAAGTTTTAGTTGGACTCTTCTTTCGTCTGATTGCTGTGCCCTGAGGATTGCGGAGTGTGTAAGGCCTAGAGTCATCATGCTTGATTACTTGACCATAAATCCATGGTTTAGCACCCTGGTGTGGAGGTGGTTTGGCATAGGCGTAACTGCCTTTATTGAGTGGCTGTTGCTCAATGTATTCCGACCTGTTGTGATAGGCTTTGCTGTTTCTTTAAGATTTCCTTATCGACGACTTCAAAGTTAAGAATTGGGGTGGTTCTGGTTCATCGGAAAAACGTGCCCTGTGCTGGTGAGTAGGTGGCAGTTTGAAAGTTATCAGCAATTTTCAACATCGATTCTGCAACTTTTACAGCGGCTTCTGCTGTTCCATTACCTTTAGGATGATAAGGGGACGACCTGGTATGTTTGAAGCCGTAATCTACTGAGAGCTTTCCGTCTTTCTAGTCTTTAATATGCTGGTGAATTGCGGACCATTGTCCATGTGGCAGATTTGTGTAACACCATATCTTGCGTAGTAAGCTTATTTTTTCTCGGTGACAGTTACAGCTGATTTCATTGCTATGTATACACCCGGATTTTCAGACATGATTCGACGGTCGTGATTCGACCTGTCATGATTCGACACTAATCACGTGACGTATCGCTTCGCAGTACGTAAACGGTTGGCAAAATAATTGAGAGTTCTGCGTGGGATCCGAAACAGTGAGAGTAAAATCTGGCTGGCAAGGAAAGCTTAGCACTAAAGGGCATAAGTGTAACGAGGCTAGAATCTCCACAAATGCGTTTTACCTGAAGAGGAAAGCTTTTTTGCCTGGAAAGCAGCGACATGATACAGAAATTATGATAACATGTGATCCGGGTGCTAAACCTGGAGTTCGATTGCCGAGTTTGAAGTTTTTCTGTAGGCAATTTTATAATGGACGAAATATTATCAATTCGGCGAAAGGCGAAATAGTCCGATGGTTTATCGTTTAGTCTTCTTCCGTATGACAAGGTTTCGGTATTTTGCCGTTGGCGAATACCACCCGCAATTTACATATAACAGTGATGCAAATTTAGTTAACAGGGAGGCAAATTTATATTTCTTCAAGTTGGTACTTTTTCGTCCTTAATTAGCTTCTGCATGGTTAAAAAAATGACAGGAAAACTTGACGTTTTGCAGAAGAAATCAACAGATAAATTGATCAGTCTGTCGTTGTGAAAGAATGTGCTGAAGAGTTTGAAAGTTTTGTTTTGTCGATCATTGAAAAATATCACAATGTTCGGTTCTCGACCTATGACCCTAGTGAGCACAAATAAAGAAAACCATACATAAAAGAAAGCAACATTTGTTTTTATTGAAAAAGCGTAAAATATGATATTTCTTTAAAGATCTAGGCAGAAGCCCAAAAAAAGTTGAGAAAAGAGCCGAAAAACTTATTGATTGAGACGTCCACACGCCCGATAACATGTATTGCGATTAGTTTGCGTGACTTGTATGAGAGGCTGTTGTCTGAAAAGGAGAACAAATTATGGATCACAGTCCTCTTTTTCTGAATTACAAGAGAAACATTCAAGCTCATTGTCATAAGCTGCAAGAAAAAATAAATATTATAAAGTTAGTAATAACATATTATACTGTCACTCAACACAAACCATCAGTCAGGGTGGACTGCACCTGTATTGATTTTGATGTTAGTTATATTTTTTTGACAGCTACATATATTTTTTTCATATCATAGGGAAGATATCACTATTTCGTCAAAGCCACCCATGCCAAATACGGGCGTATGGAAAAGCCGGAATCCGGAATCCGGAACCGAAGCCGGAAACGGAAATGGAACCGGAACCGGAACCGGAACCGGAACTTAAATTGAGACCGGGGTAAACTGGGAAACACTGAAACCAGCTCCCGATACCCCTGTGGGAATAAAATTCAAGATGGCGTCCTCTGTTATCATTGTTTTGAGAAATTTTCAGCACAGTGATCGTGATACCAAAGGTATACTCACATTCGGAAAGTGACTTGCAAAAAAAGGTAAGTGCATCCTACTGTTATTCCTAGCAGTCATAAACTGTGACTGCAGCTGTAGGTCGAGCAATTTTTGAGAGATCGAGACCACAACTAATCAGAAGACGATTGACTGCGAAAAACAGCCATTATTAGTATGTGATGTTTAAGACCGCTGTGTTATTCATTTCCTTCTCTTGAGCCTAAGTTACTCATTTCTTAAAAGGGCGCCGTGTTTCAACCATTGTGAGGAAAAGTACTCATGTCAATCATGATCCCAAGTTGCAACGCTCACTCGTATATGAAATTCTCGAAGAAAACTTTTGCGCCGTACGCAAAAAATGCGACATTAAAAAAGATAATAACAATAAATAAATATAATGTGGGGATGAAAAGCCTTGATCGGGCAATAATTGTTTGTGACACTCTTATGACAGAAACGCCTCCACGTTTTATTTCTTAGGTTAGGGCTCCGGTTCCGGTTCCGTTTCCGTTTCCGGCTCCGGTTCCCGGATTCCGGCCTTTCCATACGCCCCAAAATACTCTCCATTTCCTCCTGCTATTTCCCTCTCAACAACATATGCAAAATAATTGCCCATAATAACTCAAGCAAATACGACCAAAATACTAGAAAGAGGCTACAGGGAGTTCAGAATATCAATACCCATAAGTGACTTGTCAAATAGATTTAGACAGATAAAACAGACCAAATCAAACTGGTTTTTATACTTACTCTTATTTTCATGTCTTGAAATCCATCAATGAAAGACCCCATCGAGGGACCTAATTAGTATAGGTAATAGCATGATTAGTAGTGATATTTGGCATAAATACCATGAGTGATATTTCAAAATTGTTATACGTAATTTCACGAGCCGTTGGGGGGAGTGAAATTTGAGACAATTTTGAAATATCACGAGTGGTATTCATGCCAAACATCACGTACAAATCATGCTATTATTTGTTTATACTTCTACCCACAAAAGGTTTGTAATTTTCACATGTAGGTATTTCAAATTAAGCTGAAATAACACTGCTCTAAGCCAATCATATTGCAGAAATTTCTCATGTAGTAGTATAAGTATGGATAATAACAAGATTTGTAGTGATATGTTTCATCCATTTCTGTGTAGTAGCGGGTTTTGCAGGTCACTTTGGTTCTTCACTTCTTATTCTTAAAAGAAAATAGAATATTTTTAGTTATTATTGATATTGTTAAGAGCCTGCGATATTAGTAAAACTCTGCGGCACATGGGAATGATTGTTGACACAAGTGTAGGACCTGCCATCTTTATTGTTGTTGGTTTTGTACTGAAATACATCTAGAGTGTTACTGTAACTTCTGCGCTGTCTGGCCTGAAAGTAGCTCTTATCTTTAGTAATATTGCTAAATTCCTTCTGTGTCTGACTAGAAAAAATCTTTTAAAAAATAGAACAAACAGAATCTATGAAAGTGGAAATGATCCTCGCAGTTAAATACTAGGGTTTTATTCTTACATGTATGTGTGCCACCCAAACCTCCAAATGTAATATTGTTACTGGAGTGAGGCATTGTTAGAGTTAAGTGTCTTGTCCAAGAACACAACATGGTGAACTCAGCCAGGGCTAGCTCCTTTCCTGGAATGCTCGAAGTGGATTGAAGCCCACTGACCAACTAACCACAAGGCTATTGCTTTTCCAGCATATAGTTGCAGTAGAGCAACTATAAATTATTTTTTATTATTATTAACAACTTTGGTAAGAGTCTAATGCAACTGTACGATGTGTTAAAATTAGTACTACATGTATCGCATGTGGTGAGGTTGTAAGTTTGACTTCTAGCAGCAATGTCCAGTCTTTCCTGACATTTCAGTACCGTTTTGTTATGTAAATAATCTGAAATAATACAATCTGTCGCACTATAAAAGCAAAGTACACTTACTTAATTGTTCAGTTGGTAGCAATGCTTCAGAATACGCCGGCCCGACTTCTCGGAAGTTATGTCGGTCCCTCAGTAAGGTCTGCTCGATCGGTCAAACAACAATCCCGTGTGGCGAAAATTCATTGCTTCTTGGACCAACCAACGCAATCTGGACAGTTCGGGTTTTCGATAAAGTTTTGTCACCCAGTCGGCATCTTTATGCCAAAAAACCAACGTGCTTTTCCATCACACTACAATAGAACATAAATGAACATCGCGTTACAAAAATTCGCACATGGCGCAACTCACTATTGCAAATTCAAACACACAGCACTATGTGAAAATGCTTTGCACTACGACAACAAAACCACCATCAACAAGCAAATTTTATGTAGATTTCAAAAAAATTTTTTTCAAAGATCAAAAAAATGGAACACACCTTTCTATCTTCAAATGTGTTGCGCCTTGTCAGGTAGATCTTTGAGCTGAAACACTCCCGTTTTCATTCGTTTTACCTCTAGACAACACGCAAACTTCATCGGTTGCCATTTTTTTTCACACTCATGTGTTTCCTCATCATTCAAAGAAGCAGCTCTTAAGGTACTGTAGGAAAAGGTCATTTCTAGGCGTAGCAAAGAGCTGAAAAGCGACCCTCGATCGTGTCCCTTGGTTTGGGCGCCATGTTGAAAACTTGGGTGACGTCATCATACATCCAGTTCTGGTCGTGGCCCGGACTGGAGACGTGAGAAGTACATTGTACATGCTATTTGTTCAGCGCTTTTTTCTCTCTTAACTGTTGTGAGAGTGAGTTATTGAAGTAGCATACTAAATATATTAAGAAGCCTCTGCTCTGCTCGCAGGAACAGTCCTCACGGGAAAAATTGAAATCTTATGATTCTGTTCTGTTCCCAGGACTGGTGGAATTTATCGGCCTACACCCAGGTAGCAGGTGAATTGGTTATTGAATTAAGTTGGGGAAAGTACGAGCTAAAGGAAAAGAAATTAATGGCTTTCTTTTTTTCTTCTTGTATTAGTCTTCGTTCAATAAGGACGTATGTATAATGATCAAGTTATCTGTATTATGCCGCCACTAATTTTATCTCGCGGATTGGTAGTAGTAGGGCTTCAGCAAAGATAAGCCCCGTTAGTGGGTTCCCCTTGAATTCAGTGTGGGTTCCTTCGCAAAAAGTGGGTTCCCTTTATTAATAGGCATATGGGTCGAGTCAATGACGTCACCTATTGTGATAGCCTAGGTAAAAATGGGTTCCTCCATACTAATGAATTGCCTAGTCAGTGCCTTCCTGCATACTAATTCGGTATAGGTTTACTAATAAGCGTCACTCTACTACAATATGAACAATAGGCTTGCCTAGACTTGCCCGTGAAGTAACTCGAGCCCGGTTTTCGGACCGTCTATTAAAAGGAAAGTAAGAGAAGCGATCACCTAGCAACGCGAGAAACGGCTTCCTATATCTTATTTAGCGCTAAAACTCGGATATATAAACAAAACATACAAAAATTGGAGCTGAAAACGATTTATTTCAAGTTTGTGTGACATTTTCTCCTTTCTATCTCTAGGAAATGAAAGTCTCAACGTTTCACGCACCGTTAATCAGTTAATTATGTAAGTTCGCAAGCCCAAAGTTGAATACAAATTAGCTCGACAGGAAAGACCCAAGGCAGAGAATCTTGACGTATTATTATAAAACAAATAACTTAACAAGGATCAATTAAAACACGCGACTCATAATTGGTAGCAATAAAAAACACAAGAGAGATACCGTTTTAAAAAACTTTATTAAAAAACAATGACAAAAAGAGTCAAATACACAGGAATGGAAATTAATTAATCTTCATCTTCGTTCTCCTCTGTAGAAGGGGAATAGAAATTGGTTTCCAACGTCCTCGCGTTTTTGTGTGTAACTGCTCCGCAGTCGTGACACCGAAGAAAGCCCTCTTTCATGAAATGTCTCCCCTCGGGAATCTGGTGATCGCATAATAGGACAAATCTTGTAGTAATCGTGCCAAAGGCATTTAGGGCATTTCATGATCAATGTCCCGTACACATTAGAGTTCTCGCAGTGTTCACAGGGACGTTTGGAGTGAAAGGTGGTGGTCGTTTCAGGGTTACTACTTTCTATCTCCTGACTGTCGTTTTCAGTGTCGTTGTCGCTCTCTTGGATGCCTTCAGCTTCAGCGCCATTGTCAGAAGCCACTTCCTCCTCCTGATTTTCAATACCCGATGAACTCTCCTCATTATTACTCTCGTTATCGGAAGTATTTTCTACATTTTGGTAGCCTTTTTCCTTTTCTATTAAATCACTTAACAACTTTTTGTTCTTGATTAAACCTTTACCTATCCCTAACTCCGCCAGTCCATCTAGAAACGTATTCAGCCCACGAGGCTTGGTAACTTCATTGTTATGAGGGAGTAACACATACTCAACTAGCTCAGCGATGTTTGTGACGGGAATAGTGCGTTTATTTCGAAGTAATTGTCCGCTGGGCGTCCAGAAAAGAATATCTTTGGACGCGGCCATACTATGCAGCAAATCGAAAGCACGCTGTTCCGGCACTGCTCGGGAAAGATGACTCAAAACATCTTTTATTCTTGGTTCTTCATCCTCGCTTTCATCACCAGAACTTTCGCTTTCTTCATGTTCACTCTCGTGATCTTCTTCTTCAACCAAATCTATCTTTCTCTTCATTTTGATGAGTACTCGTGACAGACTTAGCTTCGAATGATCAACCTAGCGATGTGTCACCTCTTTTATAGCATTAGAAATCCTAAGCTTGAAACGACAGGGGCTAATACATCTTCAATAAAACCAGTACCCTCTTGAACAAGGACTCGCTTCTTTGTTTTGAAAGGGACATTTGGACTGGCCAGGTAAGTAAAGCATCCCTATATGGCTGCAATACCCGCCTTTTTTCTTCGGAGATAGGAATGTGTTCCATGAGTAAATTGTATAAGACTTGGACTAGTGCATGAAGTTGCTGTGGTGTAGCTGTCTTTAAAAGAAACTGGCGCTGATAAGCGGGGCAAGCAGCTAACAGCTGAAGAAAACCACCATTGTTGTTCACTACAGGAGACATTGCTACAAAATGGCAGTTGGTAGTCTTTTATAGAATCTGGTGGAGGGAAAACAATAGAAATGTGGTGGCGGTGGTGGTGGAAAGAAAAACAATAGAAATGTGGTGGTGGTATAGGAAAAACAATAGAAATGTGGTGGCGGTGGTGGTGGTGGAGGGAAAACAATAGAAATGTGGTGGCGGTGGTGGTGGTGGTGGCGGAAAGAAAAACAATAGAAATGTGGTGGTGGTGTAGGAAAAACAATAGAAATGTGGTGGCGGTGGTGGTGGTGGAGGGAAAACAATAGAAATGTGGTAGCGGTGGTGGTGGCGGTGGTGGTGGCGGTGTTGGAGAAAAGAAAACAATAGAAATGGTGGTGTTAGTGGTGGTCTTGGGGGAGGAAAACAATAGAATCTTGTGGCCTGAAAACCTATATAAATGCGCCACATTCTACCTCTTTCTCAGTCTACATTTTGCTGCTTAGGAGTTGACAAGAGTTGGTTCTGTTCTGTCTGCGAAAAATCCTTTAATAGAAAAGATAGTATGCAAAGGCACGTGATGTCTAAACACCGCAATGCTGGTCTCACCGCATTTCAAACAGTTCCAATATTTTCACAGCAACGTCAGCGGTTTCGCTTCGAGCATCCTTTCACCTCCATGATTGCCGGAATGACCCGGTCCGGAAAAACGGCCTGGGTTCGATCGCTATTGCAACAAGCTTCAGAGACCATTTACCCTCCCCAGAGAGGATCTTTTGGTGTTATTCACAATGGCAGCCTGCGTATACACAAATGTTAGTCGCCATGCCAAACATTGAATTCGTCAAGGGAATTCCTACGGCTTTGGAGCAGGATTCCTATTTTGATGTGAACAAACGGAATTTGATCGTGTTTGATGATCAGATGATTGACGCCAGTAAAGACAAGCGAATTGTGAACCTCTTTACTCGTGGTTCTCATCATCGCAATCTGAGCGTGATTTATATCGTGCAGAATCTATTTCATCAGGGGAAAGGTAGCCGCAGCATAAGCCTAAACAGCCATTATCTGGTGTTATTCAAGAATCCACGAGACAAATTGCAAATCTTGACTCTAGCGAAGCAAATGTATCCCGGGCAGACGGATTTCTTTTTAAATCAGTACGAAGAGGCTGTAAAAAGACCTTTTGGTCATCTTCTGATTGATCTGAAAAGTACTACCCAAGATAATTGTCGGTTGCGAACAAACGTCCTGCCCAGTGAGGAAGGCTTTAACCAAGCAGGGTTTCAAGAAAATATTCCTCAAGAGCTCCTAAAATATCTGAAGCAGCAAACTCTTTCGCCTGTCCCACTTCTTCCAGCTATGCAAGAAATACGGGGCAACATGGATGACGTGTTTTCTCGAAACGATCTTCGGGACGATGAAAAAGCTAGGCGATACGTTTAGTTGCAAAACAGTTCCCTTGCTTTTAAAGAACAATTAAATACAAGAACACGACCGGAAGAAATAATCAGTACTGTTCCAGACTTAACATCAAGGACACAAGATTCTTCGACAGCAACGACAGCATTCTCCACTCCCCTCAACTCCTTTAATGTAACACCTGAATTAACACAAGCGGCTATCTCTCAAAAACCTGAAAAAAGAAAGCCTCACCCCTCCACCACCCTTAAATCCTGCTTTCCTGACCCCTTCTCCCACAGTAGAAACCCCATCACAACAAGGCCCGAAGCGCAAAAGGCGTCGGATTCAATTTCTAAATTATTTGCGTGATTATAAATCTCATGGCAACAGCTGAAGAAACGTCGGCATAAGAAATTCAAACCTTCCATTCCTGTGTATTTGACTCTTTTTGTCATTGTTTTTTAATAAAGTTTTTTAAAACGGTATCTCCCTTGTGTTTTTATTGCTAGCAATTATGAGTTGCGTGTTTTAATTGATCCTTGTTAAGGTGACTCGACCCAGTTTTTTTGGGGGGGTACCATCCTACTTTGAAGCTCTCTGGTATCCCCACCTTTACTTTTATCGTAAGTCTAACACATAGAATGGATAACATATAGATCAGTCTACAATATAACATAAAATTTTTGGCGATCGGAGTAAATGTCACGTGGTTATAATGCCACGCCCCTTTGAGGTCTGAGTCGAAAATCTGCTGTTGCAGGCATTTTTTCGTGAAAATCTCTCGGCTACACATAGCACGCATTAGTGCCTTGCGCTGAACAGAGTTTCACCAAAATCGCAAAGACCCAATTCGAGAAATTCAGCGGTTTCCAAATTTAGGTCATAATTTATGCGAAAATGATAAGCAAACTTTACACGGATTATATCTAATAAACTATGAGATTCATCTCTTTATTTTGGGCATCCTTATAACAGATGGGTCCTTGCAAGTCAGCAAAACGCTTTAGGGCCTTGTAAATGCGCGCGATTTCGAGCAAAGCAAACATATAGAAATTATAGTTTTCGCTATTTGTTGACGTTTGTCAGCGTTTAAGAGTCCTTCTCACGAAAAAAGCATTTTCTTAAAAATTCGTAGTTTTTTTTCCTTCAAATTTTTTCCGGGCCACAATTGATTAACTAACTACCCGGACTCTGAATTTCATGGTCATTGAAAAACTGTGACATTATCTTCTATAAGCCCAAACTTGAGTAAACATTGAAGATTTTTAGCGTTTTGGCTGAGTTTGTGCTTTGGGAGTTGTCTATTGTTTCTAGTCTGTCATTATACAGCATTCTTGTTCAGCACGCGTGCAATGACCACGCTTGGCTGACTTCCGAATGCTCACCGAGATATTCCCGTCACGAGTTGGTTTAATTATTGGCTTGCATTAAACCTATGAAAAAATGATATTTTTTTAACAGTAAGTAGATTTAGTGTGTAGCACTTCTTGATTTTTTTGCAAAGGCTCAAGAAGCACGAGAATTGATTAAAAATTGTGAGTTAAACCTCTATGTATCACGCGATGGCCTGTCTCACTGTACCAAAATTATTATATCTCGGTGAGCATTCGGAAGTCAGCCAAGCGCGGTCATTGCACGCGTACTGAACAAGAATGCTGTATAATGACAGACTAGAAACAATAGACAACTCCCAAAGCACAAACTCAGCCAAAACGCTAAAAATCTTCAATGTTTACTCAAGTTTGGGCTTATAGAAGATAATGTCACAGTTTTTCAATGACCATGAAATTCAGAGTCCGGGTAGTTAGTTAATCAATTGTGGCCCGGAAAAAATTTGAAGGAAAAAAAACTACGAATTTTTAAGAAAATGCTTTTTTCGTGAGAAAGACTCTTAAACGCTGACAAACGTCAACAAATAGCGAAAACTATAATTTCTATATGTTTGCTTTGCTCGAAATCGCGCGCATTTACAAGGCCCTAAAGCGTTTTGCTGACTTGCAAGGACCCATCTGTTATAAGGATGCCCAAAATAAAGAGATGAATCTCATAGTTTATTAGATATAATCCGTGTAAAGTTTGCTTATCATTTTCGCATAAATTATGACCTAAATTTGGAAACCGCTGAATTTCTCGAATTGGGTCTTTGCGATTTTGGTGAAACTCTGTTCAGCGCAAGGCACTAATGCGTGCTATGTGTAGCCGAGAGATTTTCACGAAAAAATGCCTGCAACAGCAGATTTTCGACTCAGACCTCAAAGGGGCGTGGCATTATAACCACGTGACATTTACTCCGATCGCCAAAAATTTTATGTTATATTGTAGATTGATCTATATGTTATCCATTCTCTGTGTTAGACTTACGATAAAAGTAAAGGTGGGGATACCAGAGAGCTTCAAAGTAGGATGGTACCCCCCCAAAGAAACTGGGTCGAGTCACCTTAAGTTATTTGTTTTATAATAATACGTCAAGATTCTCTGCCTTGGGTCTTTCCTGTAGAGCTAATTTGTATTCAACTTTGGGCTTGTGAACTCGCATAATTAACTGATTAACCGTGCGTGAAACTTTAAGACTTTCATTTCCTCGAGATAGAAAGGAGAAAATGTCACACAAACTTGAAATAAATCGTTTTCAGCTCCAATTTTTGTATGCTTTGTTTATATATATCCGAGTTTTAGCGCTAAATAAGATATAGGAAGCCATTTCTCGCGTTGCTAGGTGATCGCTTCTCTTATTTTCCTTTTAATAGACGGTCCGAAAACCGGGCTCGAGTTACTTTACGGGCAAGTCTAGGCAAGCCTATTGTTCATATTGTAGTAGAGTGACGCTTATTAGTAAACCTATACCGAATTAGTATGCAGGAAGACACTGACTAGGCACTTAATTAATATGGAGGAACCCATTTTTACCTAGGTTATCACAATAGGTGACGTCATTGACTCGACCGTTGTGCATATTGATAAAGGGAACCCACTTTTTGCGAGGGAACCCACACTGAACTCAAGGGGAACCCACTAACGGGGCTTATCTTTGCTGGAGCCCTACTACTATTGGTGAATACGAAGGTTTTTCATTATGATATTTCAAACAAAAGGTTTGGTTTTATAGCAGTGTACATCCTAGCAAACAACGCACGCAATCCGGCCTGCAATCTGTAACAATATAGAAGCACTTGAATTAATCTAAACCGATGAACAAGGAATCGTCATTCTTCTTTTGGAAAGCCGGAAACTGTTTCTCGAAAAGTGAAAAACACAGTGCAATCAGCCTTTCGGAGAAAGGAACAGTTTTTTTTTTTGCTAGATGAAATCTGTTGTCAGTGGTATTCATATAATAGCTAGCACCATTTGAAGGGGCTTAGAGAAACCTTGGTACCCCACACTCCATCACTTCCTACGCCTCATAAATAATAAATTATTATTATTATTCCCTACCCACTTGAATCCAGCTGCCTGCCCCGAGCATACGGACCCTGTTTAATTTATTTCTCTAGTAAGAAACTGAACAAATCTAACGTTCTGGACAGCTAAAATGCTTGAGCCAAAGCACCAATTCATTAACACTACTCAGACACTGCACTGCAGGGGGATTTTAAAATGGCTACGACAGTGTCCTTTTCAAGTCACTGAATCAGTTATCTGTTTCTTAATATTAAATGCTCTTCTCCGAAGAGTCACTTTGCCGTCATAAATGAAAAGCTGGGCCCTTTCTTTTCGTGAATGAGGATTTTTAAAGTTTCACGAACTACGGGAAGCCATAACATTTTCTTCGGTGCGAGGTCATTACTTATTCACTTCGAAAATTTCCTTCGGTGAAGTCACTTGTAATTTACGGAATTTCGTGTTATCCGTTTCTGCGACTTATCTCACCACAGAAATTCAACTCCTCAGCACTCTGACTTCTCAAAATATCTAGAAAATAGATGCTTGATAGCATATTTCTCAATTTCCACCACCATTTTTTTTCGTTAATGAGCAAATGATTCCTTTTGGAACTCGGTCATAGAGTGATATTACTTAACCCGTGAAATAGCTCTAGGTAGTAGGATACTACGCAAAATGCATCAGTTATATTGTCTTCTTTTGTTTATTTGTAGCTATTTTGCACTAGTTGTTATTATCTCTTCCACGGTTCAAGTAAAATCACTCTTCACTATTTTCCGCCTTCGTCATTATGTGCTTTTCAGTAATAACGATGTTAGTAACCCTTCAAAAAAGCTTCAAAAAAGTGGTTTGTGGAGTTTTAAAATCCATAGTTAGATTGAAACATCTTTCATACATACCAGATAGTTAACTATACTGCTGGTATTTCTTTGAGGATGTTCTAAGTGAACTGATACTAAGAGAAAGTTTTCTTGCTGTTACAGACGTGTACTGAAGCGGAGTATCTTTCTGCTATTTCCGCAACTAAACCGAAACCTACAAACTTAGTCTAGAATAACGACAAATAGCTTACCTTACAGTTTGTGGAAGTCCTAATAACCAACGAGAGTGTGCTGCCACGAAAGTAAATTCGTCTCGATGATGTACGCACCTCGCTGTTGCAGATGTTTGGAACAATTGATGCGGTGTCTTGTAAAATCTAGTTTATGCAAATGTTTCCAAGAAAAAAATTAGAGACAGCGTTTTAGTTTAAACTTCCGCGCTCTGTGAATTTAAATTCGAGGGGCCAAATGATGTATTCTTTAATACGAAAATACCTTGAAAAAATAGATATCGCAAAACACCCTTTTAATGTTCTTCGTCTTTTGTCGTTTTTTCTAACAGTACTGAAACAGATGACCTAATATCTCAAATAAAACCCCACCAATGTCCGATTTGTTTCGATTTGCAAGTCTTATCTAGAATGAATTGGAAGATGTGAAATGTATTCCCCTACTCACCTAGTACTTGCTTCTCCTTGTATCCATAAACTGCTTTTAGATTATCCTAAGAACGTCCTATAAGAACATTAACCCATTGCCGCCCGGGCCTTTTTACGGTTTCGAGTGATTTTCTACGTATAAACATCCATAGATAGGATTTCGTGACTCCTTATTTGGGGTAACCATGAAAAGGGTGCTGTTCTCAAACATCGTCGGCTCGAGTTTTCTGGAAATGTTATTCTGACGTAGTCATTTTGCTTCGCTGAGCTAGAATAAAGGCTCAATATCCTGCTGAACGAGAGGTTACCCTCACTACATGTCACTACTTGTACAATAATATTTTCTTGCACTGCATCTGATTCACCATTCATAAATAGTGATGTAACTATCATTTGACTTTGAGGAAAACTGGTTTGATGTCTAGTCCAGCTGAATTGATAAACAACAGCTGCTTTCGAACGGTCTAGAAAGTTAACTGATGGGAAGATCGGTTGCAGAGGACTGAGGGAACTTCCAACCAAAGGAAATAACGGCTGTTTGATTGTTGGCAAACACACTTTTATTTTCTACCAGTGAAAGCATCGGTGTCATTGGTCGATAAATAAATCATGTGATGGACACTCAGTGTGTTCTAGAGGATGCATGGTTGGGACAATTGATTTTTTGTCTGGTAAATTTATTTATACTCTCTTGTAATTGATCGTAAAAAAAGGGGGAAAAAAGCTTCTGCACCTTTCAAGTTCAGCTTTCTATGGAGTTTTTCTTTCCTTGTCTATATTTCTAGAAAACCGTAAAAGTTCTAGCCTAGAAACGGTATGTTTTAGAAATCATTTTATCATGACATTTATTTTCTCTTTCTATATCATTTCCTCTCAGACTAAATCATCTTCTGAAGCAGCGTTCATGTTATATACTTCTGTTTCGCTTTTTATGGTATCAAGAGTTAACTCTGATACGAAGATGAAGTTGGTTTACTTCGATCAGAGAAACACTAGAAACTTATCGAAAGCAGGAGCAAGAAATCTTTTTGATCCGCTCCACTTGGAAATAACTGCAAAATGTTTTAATTTACAGCAAGAGAGAATAAGTTTACAGCTAACCCAAGAGTTCGAAGAGTTGGTATAACAGTGCTAAATTAAATCCAATTAACGACAATCGTTGTTGGCAAGCAGACTATCGCCTAAACTTCTAGCCAGACATTGGACGATAATTGTTCGATCGAAATCAAGAGAGGATAAAGGGGACAGAGAAGGCATCCTCCATACACACCCTATTCCATAGGTAATTCGTCTCGAGTTAGTTTTAAGACCACAGATCCCAAGGGGGATTAGACAACAACCAATCACATAGCGCGAATGTGTTCCGCGTGGATGACCCACGCTCAGAGCCACGCGTCCTTCACGAATTGAGGCAGAAAAAAGGAAAAAAATGGCGGAAGACGCGGAGAGCAATATTGCTGTTCGTTTTGTCGACGAAAACGACTAAAGAGAGATCTCTGCTAAAGCTGTGTCAGGGAAACGGAAATTAAAAAAGAATCGCCCTTCTTCTCTTGTATAGAGCTAACAGTACAGCAGGGAAATCCTTAACACAGTGAATATTCTCTCAGGATCATTTATAATTTACAGTTTGAAGAGAACAATTTCTGGTTTGATATTTATTCTTTTATTAGTCTTTTATTATTCAACAAAAATAACACTTGGCGTCCTATTATAATAATAATAATAATAATAATAATTTAATAACTTCTAGGTTGCTATTTACATTCACTGATCAACAGCGCTTAACAACTTAAAAAAACTACAATAAAATTCAAATTTGTGAAACTAATTACATTTACATTACCCTGGTCCCAGAGGTTTTTCTTGATTTTTCTTCGCGAAAGAGATCAAGAGAAAGCCGCGAAGTGGCGACAACGAATCGCGAAAGCGACGAGGAGAGAGAGAAAAACCTCTGGTTACCTTGGCCTCGAATCTCACTTTCATGCAGACGACAGCTGTCAAACGCGTCAAATTGCTAATAAAAAGAGTGAACAATGGCAATTTAGCAAACACATGCTTATCAGCGGCTATTTTTTTTAAGTGGGGGCAGACCTGGGGAAATTATGTTATGAACAAACCATCTCCACTTGGGTGGTAAAGAGTGATTTGTTATTCGGGGTCAAGCTAAAGCATGAGTTAACGATGGGCGAGTCCAGGAATAAGAACACCACTTCATAAAGAAACCAACATTGTTCCACGCGACTGCTCCAGGATTTGCAGAATTTATGTAAAAATAAGTGGCCGATCTAAAATCAACGTTTTTGGGTATAATAACAAGGATTTTTCACAAACATTGTCATCTGTTCTGTCGGCTGTGTACATGACTCAACGGGATTATCTGTCAGAAGTGCCAGCTGAAACTTGTAAAGTTTGCAAGAGTCTATCAATCGCGCTTATTATATTGTTTATTTCTGCGGTGCGCGCCGTTCGCGTCGATTCGCAGGCATTCCCTCCAAAATAGTAATATTAATATGTTTTCTGACAATCTTGCTCGCATTTTGGTTTGGCGGCTCCATTTCCTTTTTTTGTGGAACAACGGCGCTAGGAAGAGTCATGCAGCACAACAAACCCTTAAGGCTCGGAATGTACTCTCAGAGGTTTTTGTTGACCCAATGCCAAAAATAACGTTGGTTAGATCTTTGAAGATAAATATTGGGCGTCGCAGGAAAATGTAAGCTGCACCGAAAATGATTACATTCTTGTACAAAGTTGTATGTCTTTTTCCCTACAAGGAAACCTTCATTCCGTATTCGGAGATTTATATTTTGCTGCCCTAAACATGTTAGTTTATTTAATGAAATGACAGTATTGTAACAGAAAATGGTAAATACATCGAGACACGAGATTCTGGTCGTCAACGTCTGGACTGCTCAAACTGGTTGCTGAGACGCCACGGTTTCGCAGTTCGCGGATATGCGAGTCCACAAGAGCCTTGAGAGGACAGACAACCAAAATTATTGCATGCTGGCGAGGGTATGAGTAGCCTCTTAAGGAAAGGTACTTGCAAACATCAGGTAACGACTGAAATATTATATACTTTCCATGTCCGGTTGATAAAATGGTGAACACATCCTTTCGACTCAACGCGGCGAACAAAGCTTTCTTTTGTTGTTCAGTGAGACTCAGGAAAGCGCTCATCAAGTACCGAGGTCAAAATTTCTTCGAATATTCTTTCAGGAACAACATCCATGTCAAAATCTCGAAATATGACGTGCCTGTACGTGCCTTGGTCCCGTGCAAATGTTATTGCGAGTGCAGCATACAAACAATTTTCTTCCCTGGTAGAGAGAGGCAAAATGAGGTGTGAAAATTCTCAGCGTCCCCTCGGTAGTTACAATTAAACGAGCCAATCGAATTGGTTTGCGTGTTTCAAAAAATATCATCCAATCAACGCCCGAGGGTCAGATCCTAACCCTGTCGTCTGCATGAAAGTGAGATTCGAGGCCAAGGTAACCAGAGGTTTTTCTCTCTCTCCTCGTCGCTTTCGCGATTCGTTGTCGCCACTTCGCGGCTTTCTCTTGATCTCTTTCGCGAAGAAAAATCAAGAAAAACCTCTGGGACCAGGGTACATTTACATGAATATTACTTGCTACTTGCTTTATTGTACAAACGACCGGTTTCAATAGACCGGCGAAATTTCTCATTTTATTAAAGCACTGATGTTACGATAACTTCGAGTAAAACTGATTTCACGGGTTGTCAAAGAGTCGAGCGATTATCTTTTCCGAGGTGAGCGCCGACTCATTTCGCTTCAATATTCAGAAATGCTCTCGATCTCTTTACGCTTTCATTGCCTTTCGCCCGACATGTTTTGCACGGCGTTCAGTCATGCGAATCCTCCACGAAACATCCACGCAGCGCGCGAGGTAACTTTATCCCGATTCTAAAAATAACTCGAGACGAATTACCTATGGAATACGGTGTGTATGGGGGATGCCTTCTCTGTCCCCTTTATCCTCTCTTGATCGAAATATATTGGTGGTTATGTGACAAGGCGGCCATGCGGGTAGCTAAAAATTTAAAAAAATTCGCCGAATTTGAAAGAAGGAGTTTGGTTGTTTTGTTGTTTTTTCACCAGCATGGCCTTCTTGACGTCAACTTAAAAAAAGAAATAATTTGGTGCTTGGTACAATTTACCCTTTTCCTAGAAATGTGTTTATTCTGTAATAAAAGCGATTCCAAGAAAAAGTACCAAACAGGCTAGTGAGCTTTCTATGAATTCATTTTCAAGTGGTAAAATTCTTTATAATTTTAATTTTTAGTTTTAATTCTACTAAGTACCTGTACAGACCCAATGTTCCGGACAGAGCTAAAATACTTGAGCCAAAGCTCCCGAACGTTAACATTAGACACTGTACTGCAGAGGGTATTTTACAAGGGCTACGGTGTCCTTTCAAGCTACTGAATTAGTTAATTATATGTATCTGAATATTATTAAAATGCTTCTCCGAACTATCACTTTCCGTCATAAATGAAAAGATTGGGTCTGTCGTTTCTGTGAATGGAGATTAAAGTTTCACGAACTAAGGGAAGACATAACATTTCATCGCGGCTAGGTCATTACTAATTCACTTTGACAATTTTCTTCTGTGAAGTAAAGTCACTTATAATGTACGCAATCTCGTGTTGCCCGTTTCTGCGACTTTTCCATCCGGAGAAATTCAACTCGCCAGCGCTCTTATTACTCAAAAATTTTAGTTAACAGATGCTTGATTGCATTTTCCTTCGCCATTTGTGTCCCTTTATGAACAAGTGATTTCTTTGGGAACTCGTTCTTATCAGTTTTCCGCTTTCGTTATCATCATTCTCGTAACCCATTAAGCTCTTAAAAAGTCGCTTTTGGGGTTTTAAAATCCATAGTCAGATTGAAAAATCTTTGAAACATAGTTAAAGGTACTGCTGGTTTTGCTTTAAGAGTCTTCTATTCAAGTTAACTGATACCAAACTGAATATATTCTTGCTGATACGAAGTGCACCAAACCTCTTCGCAATTAGACCGAACCCCCTTCCAAAAGGAGGAAAAGGTGAAAATTATTAGTAAGTCTAGGATAAGAACTGATAGCTTACCTTACAGTTTGTGGAAGTCCTTACAGAGGAGCCTCGGCAACGAAAGGAAATTAAAATAACGGTTGCGTAATTTTTTTTTGACAAATTTGTCGACACGCACTTTAATATGATTTAGCTGGTGCGAAGCTGGTTCGTGGAACAATTGATGCTTTGTGTTTTTAATTAAATTTTATTCAAGTGATTCTAAGAAAAACAGGATTCTATTTTAAACTTCCGCAATCTATGAATTTAAATTTGAGGGGCAAAATGTTGTCTCCTTACGAAAATACCTTGATATAATTGATATCGCAGAACGACCTCTTATTAATATTTCTATCTTTTTTTCTTAACAACACTGAAACAGGTGACGTCATTAATAGGGAGCTTAACTTATAAAACACATTTTTGAGCGATGCCCGTCAGCCGGAACTGTTTTTTTTTTTTCATTTCTGGACAGTTATAAAGACTAAATTTTCACACAAATCGTCGCTGTAAGAGTAAAGGGACTAAGCATTCGCATTTGGAACCGTTCAAGGTCGATTAAAAGGGAAAAGGCCTCATTTCCAGTTGACGTGCGTGCTTCAAAAACGTCCCCGAGGAAGCCAACATAAAAACTGAGTGTGCTTGCACAAGCGGTTAACCATGTTAATCGTTAATGTGCCGACATCTCTGAATATACAAGTTTCACTCTTTTGATGAATTCGATAAGATGAAAGTACGCTTCCACTAAGAAAAAAGTGTTGTTACCTTCGCAAGACTATAAAGAATACAGAGACATCAGAGACATTCATCGCTTGAGGACTTTGGATCCAACGAAAGTTCGTTTCAACCATACAAATCATATACTGATAAGGAAGTTGTTTAATAACTGAGGGAACTACTTAATGCTGCATGGAAAGCCTAAACAATGCGGATACAAAAATATTCTTCTAAAACTCTATGGATTGATTAAATTTCACCATGCAAAGCATAACTCACGCATCATAGCCAGATCGGAGAAGGATGTTGTGTTCGTTAATACACAATTAGTGTTACGCAATGGTCGTCCAAACACAAAAGAACAATGTTTTGATGGATGTAGGTTTGGATGGATGTCTGGATGGGTTGTAGTCTGAAATGATTCTCCTCCTCGTCCTCCACGAGTTAGAGGGTGGAGACGGTTGACATTGTAGACTAGATGGATAAAACTTTTTAAATTTGGTGTTATAGTCAGGCTAGAAAATAGTCTTATTAGTGAACACCAATGAAATACCAGGTGGGCTTTCGTACGAAAAGGTATCTTCACATGTGAAGAGATTACCGTTGCTGTAAATCTACTCGCCTTTCACAGCAAAAACTATTGACTAAAAGTGAAATGGTTTCGTATTTCATTGGCGTTAATATTATAAACAGAACGGTACATGACCGGGTGGAGATATGAAACTTCTCTTCGCTGCGCTCACTGGTGAAATGTTTTTCAGCATTCGAGCAGAAATTTCGCACCTCCACACGGCCATGTGATATCCTCTACTTCTCACTCAACTGGCCCCGGGATCAGAATTAAAGAACTTGTAAATACAGCGACACAAATTCTTGAATAAGATGAAATAAAAAGTAATCACGTTTTATCATTTTCATAACGAAATAATAAAATATATTTTAATAAATAAAGGAGTAAAAACCGACAACAACAACAACAAGACACGTTTTTACAGATTTCACTGAAATTTCAAATGCTTCACATCCGAGATAAGTACTATCTGAAATACGCTAGTTTAACAAAAAACTGTAGTAGACTAAATTATGTCTTAAAACATAAGCATGGAAAAAGGCAATTAACACTTATTAAGGAATATTTAAACGGAATAGTAGCAAGTAGCCGTTCTAATATAATTCCCACTGGACCCTACATTTAGTATGTTGTTCTTATTTTCGAGTAATTCCAGTGGGGTTCCTACCTTTTCACCAGAATGACATGCGTAACTCCCAACGTATCACATCGAAGTCATCCAAATAACGTTCAGTTTTCGAACTCAATCGAACACATTGAGTTCGATAATTGAACGGAGTGGAACTCACAAAGCAGGCAAAAGAAAAACACGAATAATAAAAAAGAATATATAGGTTCCAATTTCGAATAAACATTCTCTGTAAAAATGTCACTGCGTTTGTTTGTTTACCAGGGAAAACATCTTCCAGTCCGCAAGTCTAATTCATCTCTCGGTCCTCTCGGCTCTTTCTCCTGAAGTATAGCATATAATCCTTCCTTTCTAGCGCTCTTTGGATTTCCCTGACTTGTTGCTTACCCAAAGTTGACTTGATTTTCAGTTCACCGTTCGATGTTGTATTATAATTCGATTTCGTTCGATTCGGCTCGGGCATCAAACTCATCAAAAAGTATGATGTTCGATTTCCTTTTTATGACCTAACAACATCGACTGGAACTCTTTCGTTCGAAAGAGTTTGATTGTCGGTTCGATGGAATTTTGTTTGATCTGTTCGGTGTGGTTCACCGGGGTGAGTGAAGGAACTTGGGAAGATAAAAAAATGAAATAAAAAACAAAGAATAAATTAAAGAAATATAAAAACAAAGAAAAGGAACAAAAGTTACTGAAACGTTGGATAGCTGAAAACCGTGGAACCAACCGGCCATGTGACTCTGATTTAGTTTCTCGTTCGCAATATTTTCAAGTGACACTAAAATGTTTCCCTGATTAGCCACAAGCCGCATTAGCCGTAACCGCTACCCTAAAAGCATGGAGTCCCGATTAACATCAAGAGAGAGGACTTCACGATAAAGACATTGAGCGACAATTTGATCAAGTCAACTAGTTGAAAAAGGTTTGTGACGGAAATTGTTTTGCCACGTCTCTGAAACAAGAGCCTATGCTCTGTTGTCTGAAATCTTTGTTTCAGCGTAAACCTACTTGCTTTTTCTACAAACATCTTACTCCTATTTGTTTGAACGTTCTTTAGAATTATTCTACAAAGACTAAATTCGATTCATGTAGATCTTTACCTTGCTTTGCTAGCAAAATAGGGTTTGCGAGTTTCTGAGAACTTAGACTTGCAGAGCAGATATAGATTTGATGGCTGTTAGCTTATACATCAGCAAGTACAAAATCCTTGTCAATCAACTAAAATCGTGTAACATAGAGAGGTCCATATCGTTCCCTTTAAAGTCTCCAATTGGGGTGATATACTTAACGGCAACAAACTCATCTTATTAAAGAAGTAAGATAAATACGAAGAGCCAAAATGTTCCCTTCCTGGGCATTCTGTGTAGAAACCTCCTTGCCACATTTGGGACACTTTGCACGTGACAGAAATCCGGTAAACTCCATCACTGGAGATCTCTTGCTGCATTCGGCCAAGGGGCAGGTGTATTCAGCTTGCTTAAGACTTGCCAACCTCGTCATTAACTTTCTGGTATCGGCGGATTCATGTTTCACGAAATAGTTTTGCTCTTCCTCTGTCAAATCTTTATCTGTCCAGTAAACGTCGATGAATTTTAAACCAAGAACATCTGCGTTCTGCACTCGAAAAAATCCCTTGTCCCCCCAGTCTTCTCCCCAAGAATTTAACAATCGCAGACTTTCGCTGTCGAAACTTGTTAACACAAATGAATGGCCTCTGGTGAGACTATGGGGAGGACGGGCTGTTAGATCGATCTCCTTCTTCGTCAAAATGCCTTTTCGGTTACGGTCATCGCCAAAGAACTTTCTCAAGCTATCCCGTTCATGCTCTGTTAGCCAACAACTTGCCACCACAGGTCGGCTTGAAGAAACTGCTTCTAAGGCATCCTTGAGGTCAACTTCTCTGCAACGCAAACGGTAATCCAGGCACATTACATCTAAATCTTGGAGGGGACTGGCACTGTTACTAAAGCGGCTCATACATTTATTTCTTAATTCCTGAAAACATGGATGACCCCCTGTGCGACCAAGAATTCGTTTCATGGACAAATAAAGTACTGTAGCACATGCATTCGCATGGCAGGCCTCCCCTGTTTGCTGCACTTCTGCTTTATAGGCCTCTTCGTCTTGCTTGATTTGGAATATATCTAGTTCTACAGATGCAAGCACATCCGATAACGTATCTTTACAAAAATACACATCCTGAGCCAACTTGCAAGCGCTTTGCAATTGTTTTGGATGATTAACCTGCAAGAACAAGTGGGTTTCATTGCTGGTGTCATCGATGGTCCAATCACGTTCAACAAAAATTGTTCGTGGTAGCGATTTCATTGGCAATTTCGAGCTCATTGAGAACAGGAACTTTGCGCCCCGATCCCAGGCAGGTTCCACCCTGCTGAATAGTCGTCTAGGGTTAATACTTGCGCAGTCAGTGATAGAACAGCTCACTACGGTCACACCAGCTGTGGTCAATTTTGAGACCATGCGAGCTATTCTTGCATGATCAGTAGTTTGTCCATCTGTAGGCTCTCCGTCTGACAAGATGAACAGCTGCTTTTTGTGACTGGAAAACATGGATGCTTTTGTTTGAAACAGTTCTGCCGCCTTCTCAATCGACTGATATAAAGGCTTTTCCCCGTAAATGTAGGGCTCTACGCTCTTCAGTAATTCCCGACTCCTTTCTTTGGAGAGGTCCTTTTCATCGAAGCATCCATGAAGAACATCTGAGGCTTCTTGAACTTTGAAAATGGAACCTACAGTAACACCTACTGTTTCTTTGTGTGTGACAGGTTGATCAATAATTTCAGTGATTTTTGGTTGATCAATTCTTTCCCTTTGTTTTTCAATATTTTTTAGAGTTCCTATGATATCAAACACTTCGTCACCACAATTAGCCCCAAAGCCTATGGCAAATACATGGTTATCTGTAGGAACGTCGTGTTTTACAAAGTTGCCTATAACCTCAAAAATGGAGCGAGCCCATGGTCCTCCTTCTTCATCAGTACCCTCTCCAATGCTACGACTCATGGAACCGGAAACGTCAAGCAGGATTCCAGTCAATGCTGCCATAATACTTCTGCCTGTAATTGGAGAAGAGTCGACCTTGTCATAATGTTAAATCACAGGGCAGAACAGTACCAAATGTTCCCAGGGTCTCTCTTCTTCCGGTTCCCTGTAGCGAGGGAGACATGGTAAGAAGTGAGATCCTCGGAACGAAGGAATGTGATGAAGTAAAACCCCAACAATTGACTATTACGTTGCTAATGCCAACGTCTTAGAAGTTTATTGTTGGGTATCCTGAAACGGAACCAGGAATCTAACCTGGTAAATATTGTTATCTTTAGCTGAAACTACAAGCGATTGTATGAATTCAGGATCTGTTGTTCTTTCCCGTGAAGCATTGCGCATTGTTTATTTTGGCATTTAACAAAGGACAGCTGCGGTCCCTTGGTAGGAAGAGCTCTAGGAAGAGACGTCATTGCGGACACCAACCCAGATATACAGCTATCTAACTTGATGCCATAAAGAAGTGATCATACAGCAAACACTTGAATGCATTCTTTGTTTGTTGTTCTCTTCCATTTATCTCCAGATAAGACAAACGGTGGTGATGAGCAGGGAAGAAGGACATGCGCGTAGCGAATTTTAATATCAACCAGGAAATATAGCATTATTGCACATGCAATTACATTGTATATGTCATATCGGGGGCTCATCTTTTCAATTTTCTCTTTGAGTTAGAAAACTACGACAACTAGTGACGCAAACCCTTTAAATTTGACTCTTTGCTGGTTTTACGTAAATTAGGGTTTATACGGGTCGTGCCTTAACGTTCTTTTTGAATTGTAAATATCATAATGACTATATCAGCTACTATGAAATCAAAGTGCAGCCAAATAACAGAGCCTATGGACTCTATTCATGCCCAATCAGTATTTTGAAATTGTCTAGCTATATTATCTCTCAACCCTTAGCTCAAATCTTTAATGTTTCAATATCTTCAGGTTCTTTCCCAGCTAAACTTAAACCGCCAAAGTAGTTCCAGTTTTTAAATCAGGAGATGAATCTAAGCCTGGAAACTATCGACCAATTTCTATGTTATCAATTTTTAACAGAATATTTGAAAAAGCTGGTTTATATGATATGACATAATATATCATATTCATCATAATATCGATTCCGCAGTAGGCATAGTACACAGCACGCTACTCTAGAAATCCTAAATGACATTCTTTCTAATTTTGATAAGGGCCAATTCACTTTTTGTTTATTTATTGACTTGAAAAAGGCTTTCCATATTATGGTTAATTATGATATTCGTCTCTCAAAACTCGAAAATTATGGCTTCAGAGAAGTGGTAGATGATTGGTTTAAGTCGTACCTAATCGCTCGTACACAGTATACGACTGTAAATGGTAATATTTCTGATTCTCATCAAACCCTTTGGAACCCTTGCTTTTCTCTTGTATATTAAAAATCTATATAAATCTTCAAATAAGCTTCAATTTTACTTGTTCGCCGATGATACTAGTTTAACTTGTGCAAACGGAGATCTTAAAAAACATGAAACTGAGATTAACGAAGAACTTTTCAAGGTGTGCTCGTGGCTAGTGGTCAATAAATTAACCTTGAATATCGATAAAACTAACTATATCATCTTTCGTCCACGCCAAAAGACTACTCCTTTTCATCCTAATATCAAAACAATAAATAATTAGTCAAGTACCAGTCAACCGTTAAAAATGAAAAATTAGTATGTCCAATATAAAGGCGAGGGAAATTATTAGGATTTGGACAAAACGCAAGTGAATTTATTCCCTAATTTTACGAGTATACCATCTGATTACCTATTAATATCATGGGTGATGAATTTCGTTAGCAGTCTTGGATTTTTGACATGTTTATCCTGGATCGTACCGATAGAGAACTCCACTCTCTCAAATGTTTAGACCTTAAATTTGGCTTATAAAGTTCAGAATGTTTCAGACTTTTTCGGCAAAATGCCTGTTAGAATCCTTCTTGATGTTCTCTTGTGTGTTCAGGTTTTCTAAAGCGTCTTCTTGTGCCCTGACATCTTCATTCACGGCATTTTAAAACTTCGTCGCTATCTTGACAGAGAAGTACGGAAGGGTTGCCATGGCAATTTTGTAATTTCACATGTGAAATTACAAATTAACGCTGAAATTTCGCGCCAAAATTAAGGAGTAATTCGTCACCTATGAAATTATATTGGATATCTTGGTATACTCATTGATTCGAACCTTTCATGGAAATTTCATATAGATTACATTTGGCAAAAAGTCTGTGAAACAATCAGAATTATCGCCAAGCTCAGACATTTTGTTCCCCGTCATGTACTTCTCACTTTATACCGCTCTTTAATTTTACCTTATTTCAGTTAAGGTATCTGTGCTTGGGGTCATGCTGCTGAAACGCATCTTCATAAACTACTGGTTATCCAGAAGAGAGCCCTTAGGCTATTGTTCTTCGCGGATCCAAGAATTGATGCAGTTGCATTGATCTTGGAAACAAAACAATTGCCGATATCGTTCTTGCTGTTTGAGCAAATGAGCCTTTTAATGAACGACGTCCATAATAATCTCGCTCCCGATAACATTAAGAATATGGAGCGAGCCTTCTCTATTTCCGGTGCTTTGATTTGGAACAGTACTCCACTTTCTATCAAAACACTTAAAAAAATCAATTTAAAAGCGAACTAAAGGGAAAACTCTTTGAAATACTGGAAAAAGAAGACGACTATATTAGAGTGCAGTGCAGTTCTCAAAATCATAACATAGTGTACTTCTGTATTAAGTACAGTCTGCGGAAGTCTCCGGGACACCACCTAAAACCCAGAACACCCCCAGAAAACCAGGAACAATCCCCAGAAAACCAGGAACACCCTCCAAAAAACCAGGAACATCTTCCAAAATTCCAAGAAAAGCGCAAAATCTCTAAAATCAGATCGCGCAAGTGTTACAAAATAGGTTTTTGCTGCGTGGTACTCGTATGAAATTAAAAGGAATAAAAAATGTATGTTTCCAGTGCCAAATTTCAATGTAAAATTGTACGACGTTTCGGGAATAACCCCTTCATCAGTGTAAAATGTCTGCCTTAAAAAATCACGCTTAAGCTTGCGCTTAGCACTTGCGTGCGCGCCGTTCAAAAATAAACAAAACATGCGCACGCGCGCGCGCTTAACTCACATAAGTGAAAGGAAATGTTTGAGCCTCGTGGAACACTTATAAACTTAAAATTTAAAATGAAAATCTAACATAAAAATCTCAAGTCAATGTTCATGCCCTGAGGCTTCAAGGTCTTGTGGCGGAAAATCATTTTCATTTCCTATCTCCGTCGGCTGGTGGCAACAACCATGATTTTTTTGACCACGGACACCAACATGTCAGGTCATGTTTTAAAATTTAAATATGTCACGCGCGCGTGAGCTTTTCTAAACTACATCCACTGACTGCACATAATTTGATTTCACCTTCACAATCTCGAAAACATTTACAAGCGCCACACAGGCACAAATTTTTTAACCGGCTTCCCACAGTCTATTCTCTCATCTCGAAATAGCTATTTCTGAAGCAGAATATAGATTTATTTTCCTTTTGCTCTGAAGCGTTAAAAATGCCAGATACTCATTAATATAAAAAATTCAGTAATCTTCCAGCTGTTCTTAAAGGATTACGGAAGTGGAAAACCCATTTTGCTTTAAAATGCGTTAACACTGTGACATGTATATTGTAATTGAAAGCCTCGTGTCTTGGGTCTTTTAAATTGTTCCTATTCACGGTTCTTCTTTTCATATTACTTCGCGTCCTCTTTCATTTTTTTATTTTTTATTTTTATTTTCTTCATTTATTTTATAGATTTTCGCTTTTCTTGGTATTTTGGGGGGTGTGTACTGTCGCACTTTGTAATAATCGTCGCACTTTGTAATAGCTGTCGCATTTTGTAATAAAATTGTCACACTTTGTAATACCTGTCGCACTTTGTAATAGCACTTGTCGCACATTGTAATAAGAAGCTGTCGCACTTTGTAATAACAGACCATCGCACTTTGTAATAAAAAAAGCTGTCGCACTTTGTAGTAACACTTGTCGAACTTTGTAATAAACTTGAAATAGATGGTCGGAGGACAAGTAAACCCAGTAATAAGTGTCACCATCGACAACAACAACAACGAAAATAATAATGATAATAATAATAATAATAATAATAATAATAATAATAATAATATAATATAAGATAAATACTTAGTTAGGGCGCTATGGACTTCAGTTTTTAGGTTTTTGTTTTTTCTCTAGAGGTCTAGAAACACAAGCTTGCTGACGTTTTTACTTAGATTTTTTAGAACATTAGAGTGTGATATTATTAAATATGTTTTTAGTAGAGATAGCGAAGGTTTTACAGAGTATCAGAATTTAATAATATTCTAAGTTGGCTTTTTAAGTAGAGAGATTTATATCACTATGCATAAGCTTTTAGTATAGATAGCGAAGGTTTTACAGAGTATCAGAATTTAATAATATTCTAAATTGGTTTTTTAAGTAGAGAGATTCATGTCACTATGTATTTTAGGATTGTATTAGGTTTCGTATCGGCAGCGAGGTCTGGAACCGAGTTTACATGATCGCCCCAGTTAAGAAATTGGCCGAGTGAGACTGAGTACCGTTTTCTTTCCAAACAAATATGGTGGAAAATGCAGACATGCAAGGACGATGAGTTTTTGCTCGGTTTTGAGTTTTCCCGCGTCCAAACATCAAGAAAAGGCTTTTAAGAACATTTTTAATGGAATTTTTGGACATCAGGAGGGGTGATGTATGAACACTTCATGGGTGACTACACTTATCGTGTAAAGGCTTCTCGGCAAGTTCAGTTATTTATAAGCTTCGTGAATTTTCGAGCAACCAGCCTAGTCTCCATCTCTTATATTTTTCCACCAACAGTGGTATTATAAACTCTCTTCCTAATCCTAAACATATGCTACGAGCTCACTATATTAGTATGAGTCTTGCAACAGTCATATGGGAATGTTCATTGAACCGATTTTCTACTTCGCTGTTCGTAAGTTTTTTTCTAAAACGGGAGCCACAACAAATATTTATGGGCGAAAATACAGAATACAGGGCCAATTTAGTAGAAAGCCAGGGTAAATTTTCCAGTCACTTCACATATACTGGGTCTCTCAGTCAGTATAAGCTATTTTTAATATCAGAAGGCTGGAAGGGTTTTACTGAACCTTCAAAACCTCCACTGGAATATCATTGGAGTAATAATCAATAAATTTCCACAGCAATACCGTATTTAGTAGTTTTGTATCATATAGTGACTTCAGTTACAAGTATTTTCTTGAAATTGTTTGTACAGAAATTACCCTGTAGTTCTGAATTTTACTAATGGTTTAGTGTGGGAACAAGAGGCTTATCCAGTTGCTAATAAGAGTGAGTACATCAGAGAGGGGTATGCATTGAGAAAATCCCTCAAAGGACTGAAGTACAAGAAACAGAAAAAAGAAAATTGAATGTTTTGCAAAGTTTATAAAGAGAATCAGAATGAAGGAGCTTAAAAAATGTACAACTTCAATTGTTTGTGTAAATTATGAATTTGATTTACAACAAAAATTGATTTTTTATCAACCCTCAAAAGAAGTTATTGTCCCTTAAGCCAAACCCCCTCAGCAGTTCTTTCTACGATACTACCCTTGGCTTATTTGGCCTAGATGGGTATGTGCTGCTGATTGAGGGTGGTGACCATTTCACCCTTTAGAGGTTTGAACAGGGTGTCTGTTTGGGCTGTGAATGTTGATGAAGAGCAGTCTATAGTTACATTTTTGGTACTACCATTTTCCCCCAAGTTTTTTAGCTAACTTAATTCTGTATGATAAATGAAATGAATCAGAATTGTAAAATAAGGTCTCTTGGCTTAAAAGGGGTACGGAAATAAACAATGTGTCCTACTACCCATACTCTCTTTCAGTGCAAGCCCAGGGAGGTGATCTCACATTTTTTAGAATACCCTTTTACCACTTGTTGTAACAGCAAAGTCAGTGAATGTTTATGGTCTCTGAAAAAGGTTTTTGCCTGCCTAAACACAAGTTTCTAACTGTTATTGTTAACTACAAATAAATGTATTTTCTTAATAATATGATTTTACATTTATTTTCCAAGGCATCCTATCGTGTTTTTCATCACCAAGTACAAGGCAATTCTTAAGTTGAGAGGATTTGATTTCATTAACTACATTTATATACAGCCACAAACTAACCTGGAAGGTTGATGTCCACAGGGGTAACAAATTACATGCAACTGTATGGCAAAAACTGATCACAGTGGCCAAAGGAAAGGCAAAAATAGAAATGTCACCATTTTCCTGACTTTATAAATTCCCTTTGAAGCATATTTAGCCAGATGTGGTCCTTGTCAAAACATGCAAACTTGAACATTTATTTTCTGAACCTAGCTAATCTCATCTTTTTTAAACCATAATCCTGCTCCAAGGGGTAGTGTAGTTTTTGGAATTTATAATTTTTCCCTCTTTATTTGCGACAAAACACACTTGAATGAGGACTCAAACTGAAGGCAGTGTAATAACTGCGGTCATGAAAACAGAATTCCAAACACAAAAAATAATTACCCTTCCATTTGCCTAAGATTGGCAAAATTTATTTAGCTTCTAGTGCATAAAGAAATACATGAACTACGAGATTTGACCATGCCACTCAATCATCCAACGCAAATCTGCTGGGATAAGTTCACAATCAAGGATGTAAAATTAAGAATCTCAATCATCATTTTTTCTCGTCTTAAAGGTGTAGTAAAACCGTAAACAACTCTGACAACTCTCTTTATCTTCTACTCGACCACAGCCAAGACACTTTTTTTAATATCGCGAAGAATTAATTTTGGGCCTTTCACTTGAAAACATAAACTCTTCTTTAGTCTTGTGGGTCTTCTAAACAGAAACACATAGTCAAAAGGACGGACATCGAGGAACATGTTCACTGGTCTCGTTCTTAGCGTAGTAAACCGCATGTAATGACAAACGCAAGACCAGAAGAAAGAAAAACGTAAGCTCCACATTCCCGCGGAAAAAAATTGCTTACAGCAAAGAAAGCAATGACCAACAGGACCAAAAGCGAATTCACTTCACACTTTCACACTTTGAAAACGCTGCGAAGACGAACTTGTTGTTGTTATTCCCAACCCGTTACGCGCATGCTCCCTACAGTTCTCGGATGATTGACAGATTTCCTAACTGGGGCGATCATGGAAAGCCAAAAGCGGCAAGATCAAAGGCCGTTGCCAGCCCCCCCTGAATCCGCCATTTTAAATTAATTAAGTGTACTCCATTTTACTTGAAACTTGCAGAAATCGAGGTAATCGTCATTGAAAAATTGATCTGTAATCAAAAAGATATTTAAAAATCTAAAAAAAAGCCGAAACTTATAAAATTCCGAGAGAAATTATCACTGTGAAACTATTGAACCCATCTGCCAGTTGATAATTTTAAATTCTTTTTTTAACGTCGCGGCTAACGACGTTAACCATGGGCCAACATCTTTCCGCCAACTGGAGATGCAAAGGAAGTAATCGGTTCTTTGGCGTCTGACTTGCATCGACCGACACTTGTTATCTCTACGTATTTTATCCTACCCAGGGGAGATGTGTACATGTCACAGCGAAACCCAACGACAGTTTCCCCCTAAATACATTGAAAACACTTTTTAGGCTATCACTTTTAGATCTCTAGAAATGCATTCTAAGCTAGCGTAGCTTATAAGATTTTTTATCTGTTCGGTCATCCTAGGAGAAGTTAAAAGTTAAGTTTTTTTCGAAATTACAAGGGCTTCAGTTTCATTTTACCAAGATTTTAGAAGTAATTTGACGTATTACGAAAGTGTAAATTTTACTAATTCCTCTCTTCTTTCAATCCGAAAATTTTAGGCTTGCTTTTTTTTCTACGAAATATAGCCCAGCCTGAGGAGTGAAATGCCGAAAAGCGAGACTTAAGAAAAACGTTGGAGATTAATTCGATAAGCTTCGACCCACTACTTGTACACATGACATTCATCCGTCAAAGCCTAGTTGTATAGGTGTTGTCCAGTTTGGTGTTCATTTTCACGCCCAAAAAGTCTGGGTGGTACCCTACACTTTTAAAGGCTGATACAATTACCAGAGGTAGCCCAAGCTCGAAATATGAGCATCGGCGAGCATCGGCATTGTTGCGTAACATTCAAAATATAAGGATTTGTATGGGGAAAAAACCTATCGTTTCCGTAACCTACGAAAATGAAAGGATTTCAATAAAAAACAGCTTACCTTACTTAAAATGTGTGTTACGTCTCTCCTGTGTGGTCCACGGGCCGATTTATGGCCGTTTTATGGGTTTTTATGGAAACGGTTTTCTCTCTATATAAAGGTTTACCAAGGTTGGGCACTCCAGCGAAGCGGCTCGACTGATCCACCGAAGGACTCGGGGTGGGAGACAGTCTCTTGCTCCCGTTGTTTTCCTATTGTGTCAACGTGAGCAAGAGACTGTCTCCCACCCCGAGTGTGAGTAATTTGAGTCTCAGGCCGTGTCGCTATCTGTCAACGGTAACGCGGAGTTCAGGCCGAGCCTCATCGATGGCTTCAGACGGGAAAGGTTGCAGAGATTTGCGACCTTTGATTCGCTCTCGGTGCAAAGGAGTCTTGAAGCAAGATAACGAATGGAAAGAAGAACTATCGTGTGTTACCTAGGCGGAATTTGGAGGCGATTGGAGCAGTTGGAGCGAATTTCCGGCCGTTTTCCTTCGGTGGATCAGTCGCTCCGCTTCGCTGGAGTGCCCAACCTTGGTAAACATTTATATAGAGAGAAAACCGTTTACATAAAATTCACATAAAACGGCCATAAATCGGCCCGTGGACCACACAGGAGAGACGTAACACACATTTTAAGTAAGGTAAGCTGTTTTTTATTGAAATCCTTTCATTTTCGTAAGTTACGGAAACGATAGGTTTTTTCCCCATACAAATCCTTATATTTTGAATGTTACGCAACAATGCAGATGCTCGCCGATGCTCATATTTCGAGCTTGGGCTACCTGTGCAATTACCTAATTGTACTGTCAAGATGGCTTTTAAATGTATCGCATTCCTTATAAGTTGCTTTTTGTTAAAATACTGCATTTATGGCGAAAAGGCGAAAGGAAAATATCTTCATGCTTCAGTGAAGAGGCTTACAAGACTCTCTTGCTGCTGGTACAAGGAAAATTTAACGTGCCCGTAGCAGAACGTACACGCGAACAAAAGAATGCCGTCGTGCGTTATTGACGAAATCGTGATCGCTTCCATCTTGGGCCTCAAGCAACTTCAACCCTGTACTTTGATGACAAAAAGGTGGTAAAGAAGTCAGCAATATCGGGTCTTGTCTCAAAAACGTTTGATGACCAAAGTCTGGTGGATGCAAAAAGCTGCTAAATCGAGCTGCTGCTGGTTTTGTGGGTCTGAGCGAGAGAAATATACTGAGAGAGACAAACAGCAAAATAAAGTATCGCATTCATAACGTCAAGTTTACCAATAAAGCTACGCCAAGACCAGTTACCGCAAAATCCGTTCAAGCTCAACATCAAGTTGATCTCATGGACTTAAGCAAAGATGCTGTTGAACACGACGAGCGAGTGTTCAGATTTGTTTTGAGCGTAATGGATGTTTTAGCCGGTATTCTTGGCTGCGCCCACTGGAAAAGAAAGCAAGTCATCATGTTAGCCAAGCCCTTAAAGCGATCTACGCAGAACATGGTCCACCAGATCGCCTTCAAAGCGACCGTGGATCGGAGTTTGAAGGAAAAGTTAGACCTCTTTGTAAGGCATTAAAGATAAAATTAACTAAGTCTAGGCCTTACCACCCGCAGTCTCAGGCAAAGGTAGAGAGATCGCATAGACAATTGAGAAAAAAGATTATGTACGACTTGGTAACTCTGGGGAAGAAGGGAGTTAATTGGGCAGCAAATCTGGATGACTACAATCGGATTTTGAACAACGAATGCATGGAAGAGCTTGCCTGGAAAACTCCTTTTGAAATCTATTACAGACAGAAATCTAATCTATTAGTGAAGGCGTCTCTTGAATGTGTAGATTTGGATGGTAATGATGTAATTACTAGCGCCCCAAGAAAACGAGAACTGGCTTCATATAGGAAAAATGTCAAAAAAATACGGGACAGAGCTAAGCTTTGTAGCGCAAAGTTTAACGATCGGATGGTGAGACGGCACAAACGGCTCCACAAAGCTGAAAACTTTAAACTCAAAGACAACGTTTTGATCCGTTACAGACCGCAAAAAGGGGGTAGCCTCCCACCCAAAAAAAGATTTGTGGTGAAAGGCACCGTTGTTAAGAAGAGTAAAAAGAATCAAGACATATATAAAGTATGATTTGTGCCGCCGAACTCTCGGAACTCTCTGGATCTCGGTGGAAAACATAGCGAGCATTCGGAAACGCCAGACAGGGAACACAAGCAAGAAAAAGCAGGGATTGCGAGAGCTTAGGAAAAAATTGATGATACCTTTAACTGCCTGCGATCGTTGTTTGGAGCGAGATTTTCCCCACATGAGTATAACTCTGATGCATAACCCGCCAGGTGACGGAAACTGTCAGTTTGGAGCGCTGTGTTTTTGGTTAAATCGTCTGGGTATACACCGATCACCGGAAAAATTCCGTGAGGAGATTGTAGAATACCTGGAGAACAATCCAACGGACACCGAAGGCTTTCCTTTAGAACTATATGCAGGCGTGCCTTGGTCACAGTACTTGCACTCAACGGCAACGGATGGTACCTATGGTGACCAAATAACTTTACAAGCTGCAGCAGACTTGTATAACATTGAAGTTTTATTTGTTTCAACTCTGGGGCATAATGCCACCACGCTGATTTCTCCGTCTGCTAGTATACCTTATGCGAGAGTGCAGCTGGGACACTATGCGAAGCAGCACGGAGAACATTATATTTGTGTCGAAGGTGGGACTTTAGTTTCGGAGGAAGAGCCACACCTGGCAGAAAGTTACGAATGTAACCAAGAAAAAGGTGGTGATTCATTAAGTTCCCAAGAGGCAGAGGTGGTGCCCGCGAAACGTAGAGAAGAGGCGTCGGCAGTGTCTACAGACAAATCCCCTGTACCAGTGGAGATCCGCTTTGTTTGAGATGACAGCGTCGGGATGGTCAATCACTTCGACGATTTGACCTGTCACATGGATAGGCTTCCAAATGAAATTGTAACCATAATCATTGATCAGGTCTTAATTTCTTCAAACGTTTCGCGGCCTAACCACAGATGCCACGTTTATAATCAACTATGCAACGTTAATACTCGTTTTCAAGATATAATCCAAAGGCTTGCTTTGAAGGTTCTGCCGCGTATTTATTTCTCTAGTCTCGGTGTAGTGGGAAAAGCCAGCGTCAAAAAAAATCCTAGAAATGTTTGGGCCTTCAAGCGGTGTATTGCTTGAATTAAGGCGAATAATTTCAAATAAAAAGTGGGCGAATGCTTGGCTCATCCTGCGTTATATAGGTCTTGGATGGTTCCTCATCATGGACATATATTGGCGAAACAATTAAGTAGGATACTAACCTACATAGAAGATGGAAATTGAACATAAACATCTGAGACTCCTATGTTTTGTTAGTATCATTGCAGTGTAATAATATTTGCTTTTCGTGTTCCCATTTTCTTTAAATTTTGTTATGTTAGCTGGGCCATACTTTGTGATGTCGCATTTTCTGATTATTATGAATGATGCCGTTTCATGTAGGTTCCAGCGTATTCGAAATTTCCACAACATTCATTAGTAGTAGTCATCGTGGCACAGTGACGTGATATGCAATGTTTTAAAGAACTTTTTAGTGCGAAAATAATAGGGACAATAATGATGATCATGATGACAATGATTGTGGCACCGGGTTGTGCTCTGAGTTTGTGATTTTCATTTGGTTTTATGAAATACAGTATAGCTTATTCATGGTAAGAAATACAAATCAAGTAATATCTCTGTATATGTCTCAAGTAATACCTCGCAGGTAACGAAATGATAGGTTTTCTAGTTGCCTGTGCTAGTAGTGAAACTTTAACAATATTTTGCTTATACGATCATGTTTCGCCTGAAGGACACCTTTAATTACTTTTACTAACAATTAATTAAATGAAATTCCAATACAAACTCCCATTTTAAACGACTCTCCCTGTCATAGGCGGAGACACTTTCTCTCTATCGAGGTCGTCCGCATATAAAGAGTTGTACTTCCTTAGAAAGATCTTGAAGCCAGAAGCTGATGTGAACACTTATTATTATTATTGTCGTTGTTGTTGTTGTTGTCGATGATGACACTTATTACTGGGTTTACTTGTCCTCCGACAATCTATTTCATGTTTATTACAAAGTGCGACAAGTGTTATTACAAAGTGCGACAGCTTTTTTTATTACAAAGTGCGATGGTCTGTTATTACAAAGTGCGACAGCTTTTTTATTACAAAGTGCGACAAGTGTTATTACAAAGTGCGACAGGTATTACAAAGTGTGACAATTTTATTACAAAGTGCGACAGGTATTACAAAGCGCCACGTGATGTGGTTAAGATGGACGGCCGTGTGTTTAAGTGCTCCGCGTAACATTTCGTAAATTTCTAATGTTTAAGTGTGCCTTCTGCTTTCTTCTATTTGTTTGGTTATCTTGTTTCGCGTGTTATATACTTACCTTGTTTTACGTTAGTTTAAATTCTATTTACTGTATAGTAGTGTCTTCACTGTTATTTAGTCCATCTATATATAAATCTTGTTTTGTAATATGTCTTCAGCTCCCCCCGCCTCGATTAGTTTATAAGCTATTTGCGGGTGGGAAAGTAATGTAATTAGTTATTTTCCAATTTTCAATAAAATTTGTTGTTGTTGTTGTAGTGCGACGATTATTACAAAGTGCGACAGTAGGGTGTTCCAGGCTTTTTGGGGGTGTTCCTGGTTTTCTGGGGGTGTTCCAGGTTTCCTGGGGAGTGTTCCTGGTTTTCTGGGGGTGTTCCGGGTTTTCTGGGGGGTTCCGGGTTTTAGGTGGTGTTCCGGGTTTTTTGGGTGTTCCGGGATGTTCCGGTGTTCCGGTGTTCCTGGAAGTACTACATGCCAGGTCGAAGTCCTCGAAAGTAAATTTCGCAGCAAAAAACTTTTCCTCGTCCTCAAAAAGAAAACAAACTTTTACATGTCACACGTCTAATCAAAACTGCCATACATGTGTTCGCGTACCGTTCTGGATGAATTAAAAGTCTACATTCACTAAAGATTCCGTTCCAACTTCGTCGGCGCCTTGTACAACGCTTCTGCAAAGCTTGCCATATCATTTTGTTTGCAGTCGCCATTCCGGTTTTGCTGAATGAGAACAGAAGTTGCAGATAACTGGTTTGCCGTGGTAGATAGGTTTCCAGCTAGTAGCCTGAGGATGATCTTTGTCGGTCAAACAGGCTGCTGATGCATTTCGCAGATTTCGGTGAGAGGCTTTGTGATCGTGAAGAAATGTAAACATCCTTGTCTTACTTCGTCGCTGGTCGATGTTTTCAAGCCATACCGCTTACAACTTTTGTGGCTCTTTATGTTTTCCCAGGGTTGCATTTTATAGCAGCATAAGTACTTTATCTCTCATGCCACGAAATAATTTCTTTCGGCCGTAGAAATACATGTACAGCGTTGCAAGCTCAAAGTTTTTAGCCTTGAATTCTCTGAGTCCATATTTGGGCAAAATAATTTTCCGTGCTTCTAATTGGACAGCTACGTCGACTAAAAAACCCCAGCATGGTTCTTAACACATAAGGGGAAGTTAGACCATTCGGGGTTATATACTTTTGACTATCTACAATATAAAAAATATTAAACAAAAAAGCTGCTTTATTCGAATTCCGTGCCCTAGAGTACTTGTTTAAGAAGAAGTTTGAATTTCGTAAGGGACTCTGCTTGCCTGACAGTACATGCGAGTTTGTTCGATAGAATGGCGCCACTTTAGCTAAAGCCATTTTTGCAATAATTTGTCTGTGGTATATAGGGATGTAAAGTTTATTCTCAGTGTCTCTAAGGGTATATGCCGTTTCTCGTATTGCAAACCTAGAACATAAATATTCTGGAGGCAACCCGCGTTAAGACATAAACTATTGTGGCTTTTTCAATTTCATGCTGGCGCGCTAGTTTTTTCCATCCTAGGAGTTCAAACAGGTAAACGGCATCTTCATCGTAGTCTGAAAATGTCAAAACACGGGCTGCTCTATGTTGTATGAAGTTTGTTCCTTAAGGTTATCCCTTGGATTAGATCCTACGGATTAGTATAATATGTAGGAGCTGCGCTGATAGCCAAAATTAACTGTAGTCTCTTAAGTAACAAGATGACAGATAGTGACTCGAATGTAAAATAACACGGCAGATTGGACAGACAGCGTGATGGCGATTCAAGGAATTTGATTTCAAACCTTTCCTTCCGCCCTTGTACTGGCTTGAAATAACACACATTCTTTTGACGCTGGGTTATACAAACTGTGTTTTTACTGTTTGTCGCGCTTTTTTTTTTTGTAGGGAGCTGAGGCAACGACGACGGCGACGGCAACGAGGACGGCAAAAAAGCAATTGGTTTAGATTAGAAAAACGACAACTTTGAACTTGCTTCATGCTTTTTTTGGTAGATTTCTTTGTCGTTGGTGCATGACAAGGACGTGAAAGTTCCTAGTTTCACGTTTTATGGAGGCCGTGGAGAGAAGGCAATGATTTTCTTTTTCTTTCTCTGAACTCAGATACAGTCCTTTAGAATCACCTCCAGGCGAATTTACCTACATTAAACAAATTGCATTAAATGGAACAAGAGTAATAAATTTTGAAACAGCGGGAACTTGCTTTCCAAGTGACGTTTTCGTTGCCGCCTTGGTTGCTTAAGCTTCCTATTATTTTTCTGTGATAACGTTAACCTTATTCTCCAAGTTACACAAAAGACGTTTTCCCCCAGTAAACTAAATAGACATAGTTAATTCTCAACGAGTAGAGCATTTTTTTAAATTGAAGAATCCGGCAGTGACCGTGAGCGACACATTTAAATGATTGGGTGTATGTACGTTCGTACGTAGAAAAGAACATGTACATCAAGTCTTGGCAAACGGCTCTGCCAGCGCGTAACAACGCTATTGTATAGTATGTTAACAGAATAAAAAAAGACTGAGTCAAAAGTTTTGAAGCAGCTGTATCACAAAATTTATTGAAAATTGAAACAGTGAGAGCTGTCATCAAATTGAGTGACAAATAATAATAAAACTATAGGCTCAAAACATTGAAAGAAGGTGTAAATAACACAGTAAATAAAAAAGAAGGCACAAGTGGACAAAATAACTTGAAAAAGGTTAAAACGGATTCCAATTACAGTTTTTGAAAACTTGTCAGCCTATCAGTTTTTCAAAGTTTGTTTGTAACGTCTGATATAATCGGCTTTGAGGGAGATATTTGTTTGATACGTGTACGAAGCTGTGATTTTGTCATTTACAATTAAGTTCCTCGCCTACGTCAAGTTTCTTAGCGAATACAAACGCGTTATTGGCAATACTAGCCGTGACACACCTCCTTAAATCCGCAAACTCTAAAGTAATAAGCGATAATTGTGAGGACAGAATTTCTAATTCTATGAGGCTGAGTATGACGTGAAGAATTCATACCGAGGAAATTTTTATCGGCCAAATTGAATGACAGCCTCCGAGATCTGCTTAATTCATACGAAAATGTTTGATTTCGACGTACTTTCAGTCCAACGGCAAACACTACAAACAGTTACAAGGTACAGCTATGGGCTCTCAAGTTTCTGTTGTTGTGGCAGAAGTTGTCATGCAAAACATCGAGGAACAAGCCCTAGCTACCTACACGCGAACTGTACCGCTTTGGTTACGTTACGTTGACGACACATTCACCGCCGTACACAAGGACGGAATCGAAGATTTTCACGAACACCTTAACAGACAGAACGCGGACATACAGTTCACCAAGGAGATCGAAGAAAATGGTAACATACCTTTTCTAGACTGCTTGGTCACTTGCGACAACAACAGACTAAAAACGACTATTTACAGAAAACCGACACATACCGACCGATTACTAGACCAGTCTTCGTACAACCCGACCTCTCACAAGGCTTCTACTTTCCGG